CCCAATTAAATATTGCATGTTCCATGGGGCCATCCTTTGGATGGACTGCGTCCAAAGCCCTGACACGATATGTCAGTCGGCGTGACCAGCTGCACCGCCGGGAACCACATGTCAGGGCTGATGTGAAAATTGTCAAGGGCAACTCTTTTTCGTTAAAACACACACACACAATGCACCACAATATTAAACAATATATTATGCAAATTGCATATTAAGCAGAAAACGAAATTGTAATTTTATTTATAGTCTGGCATGCCCAATTTTAGCCAGCTAATAATTTCATAATTAACTTAAACAAAATTTGGCTAAATAGGTCAGTTTACGTACACAACGAATAATGAAAATGCGAAAACAAAAGCAATTATTTAAATCGCACTCAATGACCATAATCGAAGGAACACATTGCTAAATAAATAACTAGCGAGTTAATATTAATGGCGCAGCTTTAAAACCCCGAAAGCCCCGAAAGTAAACCAAAATATCATTGCTGAAGTAACAGCAGTTTAAAATTATATCACTTCGCCAAGGCAAACTACTCGTTGCAAACTGGAAAATCGCTCAACGTTAATTACTTAATGGCTTAAAAATAATCTCATTGGAGGCCGTGCAAATTTAACTGCCAGCGATTCCGCCTCGGAAGCAGCAATTGCCGTTCGAAAACCGCACTCATAACCTCCGCTCGGCTTATTTGTACATATTTGTCTTTTGTAAGCATACGTCCAGGTTGTACCAGGACGAAGGACACACGACGATGATGCATCAATGGCAAACAAAAAACAACAACAACAAGTGCATGGTTTTCGCTTGTTGGCAAAACGCATGTTGTGAACAGAATTCAATTTTTAATTTACATGCTACTTGAAGAGAGACCGAGCTTTATAAATATACAGGGAGACCTCTTTAACTAAGCAAAAAACTAAATAAAAATAATAATTCAAAGTTGAAAAATTATATTTAAATTAGAACCTATAAATGTATTATACATTTTAATTTTATTTCAAATATACATGAGATGTGAATATAGAAATTCTTTATATTTCTCTTTAGATTTTAATTCGTTTAACTAAATTCTAAAATTTAAAGGTTGTCTGGTGTTTTGATACCTCCTTAAAGGGTGCCTAAAACTATGCTATGAAAAGTAAACCCATATGTACTCCCCATAGCATACTTTTAGGCAGTCTTTAAAGAGAGCTCAAAACACCAGAAAACCTTTAAATATAGTTTAGAAATGTTTAATTTAGTCAATACATTTTTAAAAGCAGTTAAAATTGTAAAAATTTCAATTTAAACGAGTAAGAAAATTACATTTACTGAAGTCCAACTGTATAAACTTTTCAGGAAGAGCAAGTCGAACGATTTAAATATATATATCGCCGCGTATGGAGTGGCTGCTGTTTTCATGTGTGCGAGGGCTGTAATGAAATCCCCTTTAAATGTTTATGAAAAATTCATGACGCGTGCAAATGGCGCGAAAACAAGTTGCCCCGCGAGTGTATGTGTGGGAGTGGCTTACATGTACATATATATATATATATATAGATATACATATATATGTAAGGTCCTGGCTACAGGGACCCATTGCATGGGTGAAAATGATGGCGCCAAGCTTTGCCGGACACGCAGCGTTGCATGCAAAATATGTTATGAAAAGAATTCGGACGTTGTATTGTTGTGTATTACCACCATTTGTTGTTGTTTTTGTGGCTTTTTGCGGTGTGGTGTTGTTGCCAACTGAACAAGTACATACATCAGTCCGTGAGCCCAATAAGTGAGCAAGTGCACCAAGGGTCATCCTTGCCCGCACGTGATCACAAAAATGAATCCATTTGTTTGTTAACTCATTTTATCTCAATTATGCGCAAACAATGGGATTACGGTTACAACCAAAACGATAATGCAACCACACATACACCTCCATGAATGTGGAATTCTGTGAAGCCGAAATAATTCCATTTCCCATGCCCTCAGTCATTGCCAATTAGAGATGTAAAAATCAAAAACCACAAATTAAATTACATAATTCAGTTTCTTAAAAAAGGTATATAAAATGCGATATGTTCGATATACAATGCAATAATATCGATAATTTATTGTACAATACAATAAGTTTTAATAAACAATGCAATAAGTTTGAATAATATCTCTATTACAATTATGGCACTCACAATTATTTAAATACAAACTTTTCCTTTAGCTTACTTTAAATATAATTTTTCGATATATTATCGATATTTTCGATTCAATACTTATTCCTGTTTTCACCACTTCCACCACTTTTCCCCCACAATCGTAGCATACTTATGTGCGAACGCGTCAATGCGCGAACAGGAGGGCAACATTCGAGAGGGAGAAAGGGCGAGGCCTCGAAAAACTTTGACCGTTTCAATACTAATGAGGCTGTCAAGTGTTTTGCATAAAAAACCAACCAAAAAAAAGCTGTGAGTGAGAGCGGGAGCACTTTAAGTTAGGTCGCTTTTTTATGTTAATGGCTAAAACACACGCACAACAGGCCTGTATGTGTGTGTGTTTGTGTGTATTGGCACGCACACACAAGTAAATTAAACTAGGCAGGACGAGGGCGTTTGTAGTGCAAGTCAATTTTTCGATAATTTGAAAAGTTTATTTAATACAAAACGTGATTCAATTACAAAACTGACCGAAAAATACACACGCATTGCGGAAGGCAGGAAACAAGGGGGAGTAGTGTTGGGAAGTTGGGGCGGATGTTTGCTGTCCACTCCTTGGCCAACACAAAAAAAAAAAAAACAACTAGTTTTTGCTTGTAAAGCGCAGCGTGTGCGCCATTTTGGCCGCTGTCCCTTGACTTGGCCATTATTGTTGCCGCGCTGTTCGTGCCGCACAATGGCACTTTGTTAACGGAACGGAAATGTAAGGGGCGTCGCACAGTAGCGCCTTTTCTCATTTAACGTTGCAAAAATCATAACTTTTGAACAAAACAAGATAACTAAATAATTTAAACGCCATTTGACAGGTAATTGTTGTAAAATTAACATATGTATTGGAAAATCTGCCACGCCCACTCATTCGCCTTTTTAAAGGATATCAAAGTAAAGAAATATTTTTTTTTCAAGGAAGACAATTTTTTAAAAATATTTTTTATTTAATTTTTTATCTTTATTTTAATGTATTTGCTTAAATAAAAATAATTTGAAAACTGAAAAAAAAAATTTTTTTTTTTGTTATAAGTTTAACCGCCACAGAACCGTGAGCGCTACAGTTAGTATTTTTTATTGGTTTGTATGAAATTGTGTCGGTATTTTGGTATATTTTACCCTGAGTTGTTTCAGTGTTTTGCTTCGCAATGCCAGAGTCGCAGCTGGACGCAGACTTTCTAAACGGATTCTGATTCAGGAAAGACACACGCAGTGCGTAGTCATAGTGTAGTCGCCGGCTCTGGGCAGCTTCAGAAGTTATAGACTACTTTAGCCAGAAAAAGGTGAAAAAAATGGACACCTGGCAGGTAGCGATTTACCTGTACAAGCCCACGCAAAACTACCCTTTTTTTTTAATTTGAATAAGAGGTAATGAATATACCTGTCTTTTAAAAGAAAAATCAAGACCATTGGTTATGTAATTTTTGTGTAATATTACCTGAAAGTCGACTAATTTACCAATTTTTTGTTGTATGACGCATACACGGAAAACAATTTCGACTTTGAATGCTCATATCTTCCTCAAAAAAAATCTGAAAATTTTTTTGGTTAAAGATTCGGAATCCTTGGGAAATTCTCTGTCGATTTCTTATGGTTTAAATCGATTTTGCGATTATGACTTTTTCGATTTTTGCAACGGCTTTTGTTCGAGAGGCGCTACTGTGCGTCGGGAAGGTAGGTGGGTGGCACATGTTGTGATTCTGGTTATTATGCTTTTGGCCATGAGTGCTTCGCCGCTGCAGCACCTGTCCACACCAGCAGCTCATCGTCCTGCTAAACCTAATTGAAACTTTCGATTTAAATTCAGGTGTTAGCAGTTTTTAAGTATAAAAATATATTAATTTATATAACCGTGGAATGTAGTCTATTAGAAATACCTTAAAAATATTAGGAATAAGTCTCTATGAATTTATGATAATAGTTTCAATTTCTTTACTATTTCCAACTCAGTTTAAATTATGAAAAACCGCAATGAACATATTTATTATACCTATTGTAAAGTTATTTCACAACTACAGAAATTTACACTAAGGGGTATACAATATCTCCACCAATAAAATTGATTAATATGCTCACTTTTTGTTGCTAAGCATTCTTATTGCTGTACTTAAAGATGGTCAAGGAGTTTAATATACTTTTAAAATGGCATTTTAGACTTTAAAGATCAAAATAAGACCCAAATATAAATAAGTAAAATAGCAAAGCTCTTCTAGAAAGCCAAAAATTAAAGGTGGTAAGCTTTCTCGATCTTCAAGCACCGATTTACATAATGTTTCTGTCTCTGCCGAAAGCTTAAAGCTTTTTTGTTTGTGAAATTCGTGAATGAATTTCATTTGGATTTACCAGATTTCAACAGCAAACCTTTTTTGATGATAAAGATTGTAAAAAATAATCATTCGATAGAGTTGATAAGTAGTGATAGCCCCACCGCTAGCAAATGTTTGCCGTAGCCACAGAGCTTTATCAAAGAGCTTTACGCTTAATGAATCAAGTGTGTTATTAGAAACTACAGGTGATCTTCTAAATGTGCGACAAATAAAATATTTAATATTTTTTTATGCTACCATATTATCTCTTTATGAACATAATGAAATGTAATGTTTTATTGATATAATTTTTAACATTTTGCATATAGTAAACTATATAAGAAGCTAATACCCTTCCATCTATCGAATGTACACCGCCTCGACGAGTATTTTATTGTTTGTTTATTGCTGATTGAAGCTTTTTTCTTGACCTATAACAACCAAACAGCTGGCGGCGACTACAAATAGAGCACATTTAACCGAGGCTCCCACAAACGCTAACCGGAATTTGCAGCGAACGGAGATCGATTCACCTGGAAGAAGATGATTTTGGTAACATTGGCCTTGGGCCTCATTGTGGCCGGTCTTTTATATCTCTCCATGATATGGAACTTCAACTACTGGCGTAAGAGAAGAGTGCCGGGTCCCAAGCCCAAGACCTTTACCGGCAACTATCCCAATCTGTACACGATGAAGCGAAATATGATCTACGATCTGAACGATATATATGTGTAAGCAACACCAGAGCACCTACATATAAGGTATCCTATATTAATTTAAGAACTCTTTCTAAGGGAATACAAAAACAAGTACGATGCAGTGGGCATATTCAGTGGACGTGTGCCTCAACTCTTGGTTATTAGTCCAGAGCTGGCTCATCGTGTTTTTGTAACAAATTTTAAGAATTTCCACGACAATGAAATGTCCAAGTTAACCGACGAAAAGAGTGACTTCATTCTGTCGAATAATCCCTTCTCCCTCACTGGTGAAAAGTGGAAACAACGCAGGGCTGATATAACTCCTGGTCTGACCAACAGTAGGGTAAGCTGTGTAATTAATCGATACGGTATCTGTCAGATAGTAACTAATAACCCATTATTTAACAAACAGATAAAATCGGTCTATCCAGTGACAAACAAGGTGTGCCAACAAATGACCGAGTGGGTGAAAAAGCAAATACGATTGGGCTCCCCCGAGGGAATTCATGCAAAGGATGTGGGTATTCAGTTGGATGCGTTTGCTTCTGTTATAAAATATTAATTATTCACACTATATCCTATACGTAATCCTCTGCAGTTGAGCCTCTGCTTCACCTCCGAAATGGTCACTGACTGCGTTCTGGGTCTAAGTGCCGAAAGTTTCTCGGACAAGCCTACACCTATAAAGGCCCACATCAAGGACCTCTTCAACCCGCACTGGACCTTTTTAATGCTCTTCGCTCTGGTCAACACCTTTCCCTCTTTGGGACATTTGATCAAGCTGCGTATGGTTCCCCATCATGTAGAGCGTTTCTTCCTCGGACTGATGGCTACAGCGGTGAAATCACGAAAGTCCCAACAGGCAACAGGTCGTTTCCAACGAACGGACTTCCTGGATTATCTTTTGCAGTTGGGTGAAAAGAGAAACCTGGACACACGTCACCTGCTGGCCCACACCATGACCTTCCTGTTGGATGGCTTTGAAACGGTGGCCGCGGTTCTCTCTCACATGCTTCTATTGCTGGGTCGCGATGAGGTGGTGCAGCAGCGCCTCAGGGAGGAGATTCTGCCACATATTCAAGATGAAAGTATTCCCTATGATAAGCTCAACGATCTGCCATACTTGGATGCCTGCTTAAATGGTAAAGAAAATTATTTAAATAATATCAATTACATACTATATTTTTTATTTTATCCTCAGAATCTATACGCTTATTCCCTCCCGGCTTTATGACCTCCAAACTCTGCACCGAGTCCATAGAGCTACCCAACAAGGATGGTCCCCATTTCACTGTGGATAAGGGAACTGTTATTGTGATTCCCCATTCCTGTCATATGATGGACGAGGAGTACTTCCCCGATCCGAAGGCCTTCAATCCTAAACGCTTTATGGAGCCCGATGCAGCCAAAACATTCCGGGAACGTGGTATCTTTATGGGATTTGGAGATGGGCCTCGTATTTGCTTAGGTCAGTTCAAGTACTTTAACTTTTAAGGATTATACTTATAATGTTTATTCCAATAGGTATGCGCTTTGCCCAATCTCAAATTAAGGCTGCAATCGTGGAGCTTGTCAGCCAGTTCAATATCAAGGTCAATCCCAAAACCCGCAAGGACAACTTGTACGATCCTTCCCTGTTCCTTGCCAGTCTAAACGGAGGCATTTGGTTGGATATGGATGCCCGCCAATGAATGCTTTTAAAGCTTTAGTCACCAGGCACAAACTATGGAGCTGATCTTCTTCAAAGGGGGGATATTATCGCTTCAGTTTAGTGTCTGCTCTTTGATTACAAGGTGTTTTTACGTAAATGCTTTTAGTGGTTTGTAATTTATTAAAGAAAATACTATTGAAGAATAGAAAATGAAAGTGTATTTTTATTTATATATATTTACATTTTTTAATTGAGGCTTAAGCAAAAAGTTTATTGCTCAGCTCAGAGGAAACACGATACATGATTAGATGCAGTTGAATAAAGCTCTGATTTATTGAAGAAAAATGAAGACATGAGTGTTATTAGTGTCTCAAATACTTCTAGTTAAAAAAAACCTGAAAAATTAAATCAAATAAATTTAGATTGATTTCGGAGTTGTTGTCCCCTTGAGATTAGGAGTAAGACTAAATATACTAATATTTTAAGAGCTCAAGACTGTTTTCGATTTGGCAATTAAATGGACTCCTAACTTTAATCTTCAGATATTTAAATATATACAAAGGATTATAATTAAAAAGGATCCGAGAAGCGACGGACAAGTATGGAGATCATAAATTGTGACTAGCTCACTAATATATATTTCTTAAACTTGTAAAATAAAATCAAATCAAATTGGGTGTTCATTTTTTAATTGTATTTTTATTTTTTTTTTTGTAAATTTTCTTAGTTTTCTTAGCCCAATAATAAATCTAATTCTACTGTTGATTTGAAAATAAATAATAATAATACAAATAATTATGATATTTAATAATAATATTATTATCCCTGTTAAAGAACTTTGATTTCTATTCAAATTTATTTATTTATTTTGTCTCTTTATAGTTGTATACGTATTATAACTAAGACTTAATAATTCATTAATGTACCAACAAATAGTTAATTATAAAGCTACGGCTTAAATTTAAAAAATTTAAAGGAACCAAAATCTTTATACACTTCAATATTGATCGATCTTTGAACATAGATTTTCACAACATTGTGCTGCCTCTACTAAAAGCTTAAAGCTTTTGTTTGTGAAATTGTTAAATGACGTTTGTAGGATTATCTAGAGGTCAACGTAAACATTTTTGATAAGCAAAAGGAACATTTCATGAATTTGTTACTATTACTTACATTTGCTTGTCTGAAAATAGACAAGGTACAAGGGTTTCAGCTAATTCATATATGATATTTATCAGTATTGTATTGGTTCCTTATCTTTACTGCTAAGCTGAAAGCTTCTACCCTGACCTAGGCCAAGTTAGCAGCCAGTATAAGTAGGAAGAATTTGGCCGTAGCTTACCACAGACGGTCTCTGGAATTCGCAGTGAACGGAGATCGATTCACCTGGAAGAAGATGATTCTGATTACCTTGGCCTTGGGCCTCACCGTAACCGGTCTTCTATATCTCTCCATGATATGGAACTTCAACTACTGGCGTAAGAGAAGAGTGCCTGGTCCCAAACCCAAGATCTTCACCGGCAACTATCCCAATCTGTACACAATGAAGCGAAATATGATCTACGATCTGAACGATATATATAAGTAAGCAACTCCAGAGCACCTATAAGGTATCAAATATTAATTTTAAAACTCTTTCTCAGGGAATACAAGAACAAGTACGATGCTGTGGGCATTTTCAGTGGACGTGTACCTCAACTCTTAGTAGTTAGTCCGGAGCTGGCTCATCGCGTTTTTGTAACCAACTTCAAGAACTTCCAAGACAATGCATTGTCCAGACTGACCGACGAAAAGACGGACTTTCTGATATCCAACAATCCTTTCTCTCTTAGCGGCGAACGGTGGAAACAACGAAGAGCTGATATTTCCCCTGGTATGACCAGCGTTCGGGTAAGCTGATTATTAACCATCACTATCTATCAGACAGTTAAGAAGCCATTATTTAACAAACAGATAAAGTCGGTCTATCCAGTGACGAACAAGGTTTGCCGGCAAATGACAGAGTGGCTAAAAAAGCAAATACGCTTGGGATCTCCCGAGGGTATTAATGCCAACGATGTATGTAACTATTATCATATATACCATTGATATTTATTAATAATATTTCTACACAGTTTACCCGACGCTTCTCCTCTGAAATGGTCACCGATTGTGTTCTGGGTCTCAGCTCGGAAAGCTTTACGGACAAACCAACGCCTGTTATGGCCAATGTTAAGGACCTAGTTAATCTACATTGGACCGTCATGGCTCTCTTTGCACTGGTCAACACTTTTCCCTCGCTGAGTTACCTGATCAAACTTCGCTTTGTGCCTCATCGTGTGGAGCAATTCTTCACTGAATTAATGGCCACGGCGGTACAATCTCGAAAGGCGCAGCTCGGAACAGGAGATTTCCAACGCGCCGACTTCCTGGATTATCTAATGCAGCTGGGTGAGAAGAGGAACCTGGACACTCGTCACCTGTTGGCCCACACCATGGTCTTTCTGTTGGACGGCTTGGAAACAGTGGCCAGCGTTATATCGCACATGCTTTTGTCCTTGGGACGCAATGAGCTTGTGCAAGAGCGCCTTAGGGAGGAAATTCTGGCCCATATGCAGGATGGACATATACCTTTTGACAAGCTCAACGATTTGCCATACCTAGATGCCTGCCTTAATGGTAAGAAAAATTAAGAGTATAACCTATAGTTCTAGTTCATATTTCCCTTTCTGTTTTATCCGCAGAATCTATACGTCTATTTCCTCCTGGCTTTATGACCTCCAAACTCTGCACTGAGCCCATAGAGCTACCCAACAAAGATGGCCCCAATTTCACTGTGGAAAAGGGAACCGTCCTGGTGATACCTCATTACAGCCACATGATGGATGAGGAATACTTTCCGGATCCGCTGGCCTATAAGCCTGAACGATTTATGGAACCCGATGCTGCCAAAAATCTCCGTGATAGTGGCGTGTTCATGGCATTTGGAGATGGCCCTCGCATGTGCTTAGGTTAGTGAAAATTATACATTTTATAAATATCATGTTTATTAAATATTTTTATTACTTTCATAGGTATGCGCTTTGCCACAGCTCAAGTCAAGGCCGCCATCGTCGAGCTTATAAGCAAATTCAATGTCAAAGTCAACCCCAAGACTCGCAAGGATAACCTGCTCGATCCCGCCCTAATCCTCGCCAATCTGAGTGGAGGTGTTTGGTTGGACATGGAGGTCCGCCAGTAACTGCTCTAAAAGCTTTTGTCACCACACCCGGAAAGCAATTGACCAGAACCAATTAGGTGGAGTGTCCTTATCAGAAGGGATATATGCAGACTTATGTATAAATAAACAAATGAATTCAGTAGCTTTTACTTACAACAAATTAAACGAGAAACTATCTAAGAACATCAAATGTAATAAAATGTAAATTAATATAGAGAAAATCACCTTTATTTAAAGTAAAATATTTTTTAAAGATTGTACTACTTAATGAAAATTATAAGCATAATAAACATGAATGACTATTTAATATTCTTGTATAAAAATGTAAATGATTTAATAACTTAACGCTTTTATTAGACTTAACAAAACCCACTATAAATATAAAAAACTTTTCGTAATCATTTCTGGTATTTAAATTCCCCAAAAAATATTCCTAGAGAAGGCATTAACATTTTGTTATCCTCGGGATAATTCTCTTAGCGCTTTCTTTTCCTTACCTCACCTGCCTGCCTGCCTGCCAACTTGCCGCCAAGCCAATGAATTTTTATGCAAATTGCAGTCGCCTTGCAGTTGACAACGTCGGCACCAAGTGAAGCTGCCGACGCACTCGAAAACTTTTTCCAACCTCCGCCAAACACTCGAGGACGAGGGTGGTGGCGGAGCCATAAATCCTTGAGCAGCTATCACCACCACCCCTCGAGTGGGTTTCGAGCCCGGGCATGTTTACCTTGTTAGCGACAGAAGGCGGGGTGGGGGAAAAATACTCCAGGCAATCAGACGGAATTTGCATAATTTGACAATTGTTTTCAAATTGCAATAACAATTTTAGCTTAATTGTTTTGCACACGCCAGCGAAAATATTCTTTGCAGCAGTCCGCTTAATTTCCATTCATTTGATTAGTGGGCCAAAGTTGTTCCTTCTATACCATATACATTTTTTTTTTTTAGATTGGGGCAACTGCCACAGGCAGAAACTTTTTCAATTCAATTGTAAAATAAATATTTTACAAATAATTGCAGGCCATCATCCCCGCCACCCTTGCAGGAAGAATATTTCGAAAAAGTTTCTATTTTATACGCAGTTTTTTTTTTAATGGCCACACAATTTGCTGCGTTTAGCAGTTGCCTTGCACAAAAAGAAATTAATGGTTCAATTAAATAATATTTGGGGTAAATTTGGGAAGGAAATAAGGTTTTTTTTTAAGTATTCCTGGGCCAAAAATAGGAAAAAATTAATATAGAACGATGTTATATATAAATAATAATGTAAAAATAAGATTGATATGTAATTAGGGAAGTGTTTTTTTTAATATTATTATAATCGTATGATAATCTTGGAATTATGAGACAAAAAAGAATTCCATCTCGCTTGCTCTCACCTAAAATTAGCAAAGTTTCGAACCTTGGTTTCGAAATTTAATTGTAAAAAAATGAGACAAGTTTGTGTTATTATTATTTATAAGTGGTTTTTGATATTTTAAATTTTTAACTAAATTTAAATAAATACAAAAAGCTTTAGCTTACATTTTCTATAATTTTCCTAGTCTTCTCTATCTGCGCAATTTAACACCTAATTTTTTCTTTGTGTATCAATTCCGGAAAAGGGACATTCCCTCCTCACTCTCTCTCTCTACTAAAAAAATACAAAAAAAAAAAGATGAACCGCAGCTGCTGCACAATTAAAATGCATGACTATTGTCAAGGCAAATTGCTTGGGTGGAGAATCCGGGATTGCTGTGACAATGGCAGAACAATTGAGTCAGAATGGGACGGAAGTTGGGGACGACCATGAAACTGGTAGTGGAACTGCTGCAAATGGCCCGAATGTGATTGAGCCGCCCTATATGTTTATGCAAACTTTTTGGGTGGCTTTAAGTTATCCACTCACCACAAAAACTTTGGCATAAGCAGCAGCTGCGACTCCAAATTTCATTGTTATTTTAGGCAGTTCAAGCTGTCAAAAAAGTTTACTTGGAAGTGGACAAAACGAACTGGCAATCGGATCAAACAAAATTTAAACCAAACAAAAGTAGCATATGCAGTCGAAAAAAAGGAAAGGAAAAACACCTTGAGGGAGTTGAAAAAGTTGTAAGATGTATGCCAAGAAATTCGATTTGTTTTACTTTCAGAATAACGAAAGGCAAACAGCTATATGTAAATTATAAGTAAGAAATTAAAGTGTTTTAAATTACAAACATTTCAAGTTTTCTAATATTTAAATATATACAACATTTCTCTTCCAATAAACCGATTTTTTATAAGAAAAATAAATTCTCTATACCCTTTTTCCGGCTTAAAAAACCTATAAATCCTTCCACTCGTTATACTTTTCCATTAAAATGCAATTCACAAAAAGCATGGCCAAGTAACACATCAACTTTTCTAGTACTTAGTGTTGTCCCTCAAGCAGAAGTCAACAATTTGCATAACCACTTGCCAGAATGGGTCACAACGGCAGCTAAAATGCCACAAAATTATACATTAAATTGCGTTGCGAAACTCGGCAACATCCGATGGCCAAACAATGGCCCCAAACAGTTGCCAGTGCGATGCACCTGAGCAAGGCCAACAGGACAACACCCCCCGCACACACCCAACACACCCCCCAAGAGCAGGACTCTTTGACCAAGTCCGGCTGGCTTGGTTAGCCAAGCCAACCAGCCACTTCCTGCTTTCCAGTTTAAGCTGCACGCACAGAGCAATATCCATATGCATATGCGGACCGGCGAGTACCCGACATGATTTTCATAAAATTCACCTGCTAGAGGTGCGACAGCGATAAGGAAAACATAATTAAATAAGTTTAGTTTTTCCTAAAAGCTAAAATTTGGGTTTATAGGGGAAATTTAAAGATTTATAAATTTTCTTTTCAAATTCAATGAAGTATTTTTATTTGAATTTTCCAAGATCACCTCACGAACTCATCCCTAATCCCTGCCAGCTTTTAATGGAGTTTGCATACATTGCAGCAGCGCAGTCCTGGAAAGCGTTGCGAGATGGCTGCCTGCCGGGTCTGGCAGACACAAATAAGGTTTTTGGGTTAAACTGCAAGTTTTTGTTGACATTTAAATTTGCATAGCAACATTTTGGTTGTAGCCAGCCGGCCGGAGCCGGGGGTCTGTTCTGTCCTGTCATATTTGATGTTTTCGCAACCAAAAGCGGAAGGGCGCTGCCAACTGTCAAGCGGCAAGCACACACACACACACGAGACACACACACATATGTGCGGGTGTCCGGTGAGTGTGTTTTAAATGGTTTTAAAATTGTTTTAATTAAGGCCGTGTTGCGCATTGTATGGTTGCTGGCAGAGAAGCAGCCAGCTTTTTCCACTCAGCCGTGTGGCTCATTCAATATTCAGCATATTTTTAAGTGCTTGGGCGCGGAAAAATTCCCTGATCCTAAGAGTATGCAACGCGGGAGGAGGACGAACAGAAAAAAAATGGCGTTACGCCAAAAGTTGCCGCTGGCGCTGGCCAACGCTTAGTGAAATGGCCGAAAATGCCTTTCCATGCTGCACTTTTTCCATTCCTTGGCTTCGACCCCATCAACATAAACAGCTGTTTCCGCTAAGTGTACCTGGACACTCGAGGAACGAGGCAAAATGACAATGCTCCCATTGTGTGGCGCACGGAAATGGACATGCACAAGTGGACGACAGCGGAGAATATTGGGGAAAAACTGGACTGGGATAAACAGCTGGCTCAGTTGGTGGGCAACGTCGTCAAGGAAACGGCAATGGGCGATGGCGATGGCATCGTTCGGTGGCCTGATGGAATTTCCCAACGACGTCTTCGCCTTCTGCCCGGCCAAAGTGGCGGTGTCAAGTGTCACCAAAGAAGAGCAAGATAACGCCAGGATTGGGTAAGTAGCTTACAGGACTTTCAGCGCCGCACTTGCAAGTAATGTTGTACTTATCGTGTCCAATGTTTGAAATTGAAGCCTCCCTTCTAGATAATGCTTAGAAGGGGGGAGAAATTGAGGCAGTTCTTTATGGGAAAAGAAGAATATTAATGATAATAATAATAAAAAGTTGCACATATGTAAATGGTAGAAATAGTATCTTTATAATACTATTTTGAAATGTAAAATGTACTCCTGTTGAATTTTTATAGATTTTTTAATTATTGTTCTTAATAAAACCATAAATTCTGTGACCTTAAACCAATCAAACAAAATTACCTCACATTTTTAAACTATAAATTACGTAGCTCCTATAAATTAAGGATGCCAAAACGTGGAGAGAACTATTAAGATAAGATACATAATATAAATCTGCGAATATATTGAATATATTGGACCAATTTACAAAACAATATTTATCGATTTTTAACAATTTGATAAATACTAATTTATGCTCTTTTCTTTATGAAATGGAGCTTTATATTTTTGTTGATATTAAATTATTAATTATCATATCATATACACTCGATATACAATCAGAATTTAGAGTATATTAATTTATTACACAATCAATTGATATTTTTCTCTGTGCATAAATACCTATCACACGTGCATGGACACTTAAGTATGTCTGACGGGAAATGCACATGCCACAAAATGCAGATCGATCTGATCACAACAAGTCCAAACAATCCGAGTGTTTATTTATAATTTACACCTCGGCGGCATCGGCATTAGCATCAAGAGCAGCAACAAGTTGCCCCAGTTCCGTGCCTCAAAAACGGAGGCCCTTAGACCTTGCCTGGCGTCGTCTAATTTTATAAATCGAAAATGAAAACAACAGAGAATGAGAGAGAATATCGGAATATCACAACAGTTGCCATATCTCGAGCGCAGTTCCCAAGCATCAACAAAAAATCAACAAAGAAATATTAACCAAAATAAATCCGAAACGCGATGAGGAGGAAGAAGCACATGAGAACGCACACGGTCTTTGGCAACTGCGAGAACCTAACAATTTCGAACATGAGAACGGGAAAACAGTCTTTCAGTTTTCAGTTTAGTTTTTCGAAAATAGCCAGCAGAGCGATTTGAAAATCTGTGAAGGAACACACTACTATCTCTATTCGGGAGACAGTCGCTGGCCAAACGCGACGCAACTGCGAATGCAGGCGGACGATCTCGGTCGGTCGGTGTCCAACTATATAAAAATAAACCGAAACCGAAAGCAAGAAGAAGCCATCCGAGCAGGCTGTGCCAAAAAATTTCAAAATTAGAGTACATATAGTGATGTGCGGTCGTTTTGCATTGTAAATAATTTGTTAAGCCAGTGACGGGCTACAAGAAATAAGAGAAAAATAATAAAAAAAAAAAAATATTACAAATATTAACCAAAACATGTCTGCATTGAGTGTGGGACGTAAGGGCAGCGGCCAGCTGGAGGTTATGCAAAAGGCTGGCTGGAAGATCGATGAGAATGAGAAAGGTAATGGGTCGGAAATTCTTGTGTCAAATTAAAGTCATAATCTGAATTTTGTCTCCTAAAAAATATATATATGAATGTGTTTAGCCTGCTATATTGATGTGGATGAAGATGATGATGATACGGACGTTGGATTGGATGATTCCAAGCGTGTCTACTCCAAATGGTGCTACCTGCCCGACCTGATACTTGAGGAAATCTTCACTTACCTTAGTCCCAAAGAGAGATACTACGCAGGATTGGTGAGTATTATTATGAAAAGGTTTAAAGAAAATGATTATTAATTCAAATATAGATTGAAGGCAGTTTACTCTCCTCATTGTAGTTGTTTAATTTTATATAGAAGTCAGAAATCGTGATAAAATGAAAACTGAACCTGTAAATAACAATAACAAAATTGATCTGCTTGTTAACCGAGTTATAATGAATGACAAAAAGGTTGTTATTTTTGTAAATGTGTCATTGTTTTGATTTTATGATGTAAACAAATGTTGTAAAATAATTCCAAGCAGTCTAATTTAAAGTACAGTATGTTCTCTTAAATGATTAAAACCAATTTCAATAAATGTATGAGAATTAAGAAGTATCTCTGAAACAATTTTTATTTAGTCTAAATTAATATTAAGTATAATACAATGTCAATATCATTATATTCCTCTTCGATTCCTGTATTAATACATCATTTTAATTATACTTTGACTTGATTATTGTTAGATTATGATAGATGTAACCTATTTTTTATTATTACTAACCTTGAGTTCTCAACTTCCTCATATTCTTCCAGGTTTGCCGGCAATGGTATCGCGCCTTTTACTTGCCCACGGTTTGGAACAACTTTGTGGTGGATGATCGCACCCTTACCCGACCGAAGTACAACTACTACTCCGGCTGGCAGTACTGCTTGGATCACATGCGTACCCAGAACTGTCTGGCGAGGATTGGAAAATATTTGAGGGGAATTGAGTTTCGGCCCTGGCACAGCTTCAACAATATTTATCAGTTTATGACCCTATTATCATGGAGCATGGACAAGGTAATAATAGTTTTCAAAATTATAATTAATTAGTTATACTAAACTTTAAAAACTTTATTATGTTTAGGGCACAGAACAGAATGCCTCACCGGAACTAGTGGGCATGGGTCGTCGTATCCGCTCGCTGGTCTACCACTTTCCTTGCAACATGTCGCAGCCAAACGATCCCGAAGGTATCAAGCTCTTTGGCACTGGAGGCCAACTGCTCAAAGGTCTAAAGGAGCTGCTCCTTCGGCTCACAGATCTGCACACTCTAAAACTTGTGGACTTTGTGCTGGAACGCTTTGAGGCCAATCACTTGCTCGACGAGGTCGTCTGCAGCTGCTGCACCAAGATGAGAGTCTTGAACCTCGTAAATGTAACCACCACGCACTGTCCCATCATGCATGTGGGTTTGTTCCTAAATTTGCAGGTGAAAAAATTAATTTACCCTTCCTATCTCCTGTGCTCTATAAAGTTTTTTATTCCAGGTGCTCACCATTTCCCCCCAGAACATAGATGATGACGTCCTGTCCCTGCTGGCGGACACCAAGCTGCGTCATTTGTATTTGCTGCAAAACTGCTATACTCCAAGCCACCTGACCATAAGTGCCTGCGGGGTAAAAGCCTGGCGCAGTCTGAAAAAGACGAATCCACGCATGCGCGTCCACCTGCGGCTAGAGAATCTGGCGGATGGCGAGGTGGTGCTGCAGCCCGAGGCACCTGTCCACAGTATCACGTACTGGGCCCCGCAGGCCCGGATACGGGCCGACCTGCTTGTGCGAATGGTGGACCACTACCGCAACACCCTGGCCGTCTATGGCCATGAGCTTCTGCCGCGCTTCTCCAGCCCCAAGCCGTTTCACAACCGCGTTGACAGCCTGATGCTGCTCCTGTGCCGGCAGTGCTTTAATCTGGACACACTGGTAAGTGGCTGATGACGAATTTTTGGGTAATTCCTGCCACTTAACAACTTAACTTAACACCTTTACTTCTCCCCGCAGATAATCCGCGAGAAAGTCTCCACCTCGACGCTCTTGCTGATCGCCCGAACTGCCAAGAATCTGCAGCATCTTTACGTGCGACGCTTTGCTGTGATTCTACGGTGCGATTGGCCCAGGCATCCGGAGTGGAGCGATGAATTCTATGCATGGTTGAAGCGGAATTCCCGATCCTACGAGGCTGTGGAGCGAGAGATCTCACAGATTCTAAAGGAAAGGTGGCGGCTGCTCAGCGATCGGGATTTTAAGCAGCTGACTGTGAATGTGAAATCGGGAATCTAGAAATTGAAATTTCTATATATAGTACTCCCTTCCTTGTGGGACTTGTGATAAAAGGTGTAGAGCTTTAACGAATTAACCAAAGTTTACAGTACGAAATAAAGCAAATTGTTTTCGATATTTTAACTAATTGACACTTAAGGCTGGTAAAATTTATTTACCTTTTGCCTTTGTTTGTCCACCTTGGTTGGGAATTACCAACAATTCAGACCAGAGAATGGTTTAAAAGGCAATGCAGCCCAAGCAGATGCATCAGTTCGTTTGGAATCTTAACAGAAACATGCAGGCTTTTATCGTCATCTTAGGACTTATCTTCCTCATCGCTGGGGTACTGGGATTACCTCATCACGATCTGCACTACGATACCCACTATGATACCCACTACGATCCCCACCATGGTCATCACTACGATCTGCATTATATTCCGCATCATGATGTCCACTGGGATCTTCACCATCATCATCATTAAAGCCTGAAATATATATTTTAAAATATATATTTTGAAGATCATTGTAAAACTTGATTTTTTGATACATTAAACAATAATTTAATAAAGCAAATATCGTGAACAATTGCCAATTTGCATTGGAGGGGGAAAAACATCTCCCCAAATAATTCGCACCTTCTCAAGCCGCTGGAGAAATTTACTTGATTTTGTTTGTTCACGTTGAGGATTGAAATTCCCAAAGATAACGTAAGCCAGAGACCGACTTAAAAGCCATTGGCAGCCTCTTGAATGCTTCAGTTTGTTGAGAGATCTTGGCCAGAAACATGAAAGCTGTAATCGCGCTAATCGGACTGTTTTTGCTCGGCGTTCTTGGCTCAGCAGAGTCAACACCCATTGTTGTGGGATTGCCTCTACCGCTGCCCATCGGTGTGGGATTCGGAGTGCCACCGCCACCGCCGCCATACGAGTACTATCCCAACTATCATCATCATCACCATCATCATAATCCCTATGATTATGGCTATGGGTATGGACACTATGGATACTGAAGACCCCGAGTTGTGCGAATTAAAATATAAAGTTACGATTTTGAAAGTATTGTTTTGAAAGGCATCAATAAAATAATATTTATTACAAGTTTTATAAAAGATGAACCCATTTTTTAATCACTTTAAATTAGGCTATTTAAATAATAAACAAAACACAAGTATTTAAAGATATTAGGTATGATTTTTACACAACACATTTTCTATATTTATACACGAGTTTTCTCGAAAGCTTGGCTTGGACATGTATCCCAACCTAAAGGAGCTTCCCCTTGACCATTTTATGGCAACTTACTGCCATAAAGCTTCGTACAATGCAGCTGGGAAAAGCTTTCCCTTTTGCATTTTGGCTTTCAGCGACGACGACCTTGAATGCAACAGCGGGAAAAGCGAATCAATGCAGGCAGGAAAATTCAATGTCAGTGCCAAAGCTCGGGCGGCATTTGGCCCGCCACCGAAATCAGTTGCATACTTTCGGGCCGACGACACATTACGTATACGCAACGATGGGTGGTGAGCGTTATTAAGGCGATAAATAGGTAGGAATAGAAGAATCTCAGTGGCGCTCGCGAGAAATTGCGAAAGAATTGCGACGGTGGACAGAGACAAATTTAGACGAGTCCCATTGAACTGAAAGCAGAGGAAAGCAGAGATTCTCCGATTCTCTGTTGGCCAGAGCAAACTGTTGCTATTGCTGCTGCTGGGGCTGCCACTGGGCCTGAGCCACTGGGTGGCTGTGGTGGCGCTGGTGGCGGTGGCAGTGTTTCTCTGGCGGGTGGCGGTGCCGAGCGATGATCATGACCGCGTAAAGACGCATATAAATATAATTAAATCAACAAAATATAAGCAGACCAACGGCGACGCCGCCAAACAACAGCAAACAGCAGCAGCAGCAGCAGCAACAACAGCAGCAGTGAGGGGATTGTGTAACTGTAACGGCACCGAAATGAACAAGACCATCCTGCACTGGAGCTATCTGAACTTCAAGGATGTGCCCATGGATCTATTCCTGTACGAGGATCTCGAGGAGGTCTACCTCAAGGAGAACTTTATCTCGGTGATACCCAAATGGTTGTTAAACATCACCACCCTCAAGTTTATACACCTGGCGGGCAACAATCTCAGCGAGCTACCCACGGACATCTATATGCTGGAGAATCTGGAGTTCCTGGACGTCTCCAATAACGAACTGAAGGAGCTGCCCCCCACATTGGGTCTCTTGCTGAGCCTCCAGCAGCTAAACGTGGCGGGCAACCAGCTTACCGAACTACCAGTGGGTGAGTGGGACTGCCACTGACTATAAGCCCCAATGCATTCGCTTGTTCCCCCTCCCAGAACTGAGCAGCTTGCGCAATTTGGAGCATCTGAATATTGCCAAGAACCAATTTCGCCGCCTGCCGCTGCAATTGAGCGAATGCGTCCGCCTCAACGAACTGAACGTGAGCGACAACGAGGCACTGGTTCACATCCCCGAGCGCATCTCCAATCTGCCAATGCTGCAGTCCCTCGCCGCCGATCGTGAGTAAACACAGAGATCGTGATGCAGTCGGAGAAATTCGCATATTTTGTTGGTTCGCTTGCAGGTTGCTCTCTCATCTATCTGCCGGCCGCCCTCTCCAAGTTCATGAACCATGTGCGCATCTTCCACAATACAGCCATCAACTATATACCCATGGTTTATGAGAGGTTCTATCAGAATTTCTACGACAATCGCCAGAGGATCACTCCCATGTAAGGCTATGATTCGGTGATAAGTAGGATTCTTTAGATTACCATTGGGTATATCTGAGTCCTATCTAAGTCTTAAAAATTAGATTATAGTCTTAACCCTTTCCGAAAAGATACCCCTAAAATGATTATTATAACAACTCCTCCCTTTCCTAGAGCCGTTCGTCGCAAGGGTCTGTTTTGGATACGCGAATTGGAGACGAACTCCCGCCTGGTTCTGCCGGTTGGCACCCGCACAGTATTTCCGGTTCCGTCCACGGAGAACCGGGTCACGCTCTACGACGACTGTCTGCATGCCCTCCAATCGCTGAATCGCTCCACGCCCGTCTACGAGAACACAGCGCTTCATCGTCTGCTCCCGGAACCCTATATGAGCTGTCACCTAAACAACGGCGCCATCGCTCGCTGCACGACTACCACCTGCTCGAGGTGTCTGTACACCTCGTACTACTTCATGGTCGTGAAGAGGTGGGTCCCTGTCCCGGTTACGTTAGTCATGTGGTCATTGTTTTGATGCGTCCGAAACCGGTTAGCTTTATAATTAGGGCGACCTATCACAACCGCAAGAAGTACGGTGAAAGTTGACTAAGAAGAATATAGAAAAGATATTAGCTTTATAGTTTTTTAAAACTTATTTAAAAATCATTAACAGTATCTTTAAATTATCCTTAGGCGCGGCAGCACTTCCAAGCAGCTCTTCACCTGCAACTTCTGCACCAATCGCTGCGCCATCCTTTGGTTGTCAAGTAATGAAAAGAAATACTACCAGTTACCCTGGCGAGTCTCTGACGATGATGACGACGATGATGTCCCCAACTCTGGCGACAAGTAGAGACTAATGGAAACCGTCAGATTTCCCCGTTGTATATAGTCATATGTACATGTAGAATTATTTAATTATTATCTTTAATTACCATTAATTACTTTTGTACATGTTATTTAAATGCTATTGATGAACTACTGACAACCGGTGCCATTCGTCCAAAGAGAAAGCTCCCGAGACCTGTAACGTAACGTAATGACCTAAAGATAACTCTGTGTGGGTCCACGCTCATGGAGATGCACGTAGTCGTCCAGGACGCAATGATTTGCCTGGGGATAGGCCCTTCGGCAGTCAACGCCATGACGACCCATCCGATAGGCATCCAAGTAGCGTCTGTCCAGCGTGTGATGAGGTCTAGGAAAGAATCAATGTCAACTTCCGTTTGAACCAAGGAGGCAAAGAGATCTCACCTCAAAAGTCTGTGCAGTAACTGTGCATAGAGCCCACTGTGCTCGTCCACCTGCCCATTTTCACAAATCAAACGCTCCAGACAAGCTGGTCCATTCTGACCCAACTGATTCATGTAGCCCTCGGCAAACCGAAAGAGCAGGAGCTGCGGCTCATCCACCAGGAGACGAGCTGGCACCGAAGAAGGCGGAGCTGGCTGGCTGGCAACAGGTCCCTTGAGGTCCCGGGAACTGCCCCAGAGCTTCCACCAGTAGATGGGCGTTTGTGGCTCATTGAATTGATAGTGGAAGTTCATCAGCCAGACCAGCTGGCGCCAGGCCTTCTTCTCCATGAACGGGACCGGAAAAGTGCAACCAGAGACAAACTATTGCAACACAAATTAATGTAATGATTACAATATATGTATGTTAATGATCAATAAATATATATTTGATGTCTGACCTTGAGAACGCCTCCGTTCTGGTAGATTAGGAAGCGCTTCTGCCGCCTGTGATGTCGCCAGGCTGTTAGATTGGCCTCCAGTGCACCCACATCCTCCAGAGTCAGGAGGAACAGTACGATCTTGGCCCTAAAGGGAGATTAACTGGTCAGTTGGACCTTACACAATTATCACTTTACGGTTCAACACTCACAACAGGTTCATTTCGCCGCTTCTAGTGCTGTCCGCTCGAGCTCTTGACAACGTTTACCGCTTTGATTCTAGCAGACCAAGTGCCGGGGCAGTGTTTTAGTATAGTTTGAGTGGGAATTCTTCAGAGAGAGAGAGAGATGAGAAAGCACGTGCTTCGATGGGTTTCCTACTTTTGCCTGACGGACTAATTAGCAAACAAAACGTCTGCATCGACGAAGGCCTATTGACAGAGATGGCCATGACTCTAGAAAGTCACTGGACCACGACACCAATTCAATCACTGATTGAAATTAGATGCTTTCAGGTTCAAATACAACGCGAAGCTTTGACGTGAGTCAGGCACAGGTGGGACTGGCACTTAAGGGACAGGCGTGAATAGGAAATAATAAAATCTTTAAAGTAACGTTCATGTTCAAGTTACAATTAGCTTGGGCTATTCTTTAGGTAATTCAATTAACGTTATTCTTCAGTTAAAAAACATCACAAAATATTTTTTGGGTACTTCTTTTCTTATAAAGGTTATTGACCTTGCTTTAAAATGTTTAAGCCTTTAATTACCAACAATTTCTTGTTTAAAAACCCCAGAAATTTAACTAAGGAATCGATGATCCTACCTCCTTAATCCCAGGTTAAGCCTACCTTAGTACCATTTAAATTAATTAATGAATTAGTAAACAATTAAATAAGCAAAACAATTTAATTATAAAAACCAAACCTGTCATCAAATTATTAAAAACATCACCGGTGCTAATCAATTAACACAACAAACATACGCATAGCGATGTATACTCTGTGGTCGTAGCTCTATGGAAACCACTACCAGTTGCTGGTGGTTGGTTGACTTGTTGGCCAGTTGACTTTTCGGGCTGCCATGGCAAGTGAAGCCATTGCCATAGCTCCGTTTGTTCCATTTATCGAACAGCAGCAGCAGCGGAAATGTCGAAACACTCGAGCAGTCCAGGATTCTGTTGCGTGGCGTTAACTGCCACAGAGTTGGTTTTGGCTTGGACACAAATGTAACCACAACAATTTGGCAAAAGGATTTTGGGAAGGACCTAAATTACAAATTGGAAAATTCGAAAAATTCACAAAATTAACCGTCAAGATGATGAGACTACCGGGAATGCCCATGCTGCCAGGAGCACAGTTCTATGACGTAAGTTTGCATAGCCCAAAGAGTTCAACTCCTACTCCTTGTACTCCCCCCAACAGCGTGGCAAGCGTCGCCATCCGCGGCAGCAGACCCTGATGCACTACCAGGGCATTCAGATGCTGTCCGACCGCCGGGAGCCGGAACTCGTGGAGCCCAATGGCATTGTGGCCGACCCTAAATGTCCACCCGTTCCTGCCCAAATCAACAGTCTGTGGGCTCCCAAGGCCACTACCAAGCTGCCACCCTGGCTGGCCTATGACAAACAAGTGCTCTGCTTCAGCGCCTACTTCAAGGAGAACCTCACCGAGATCTACCATGCTCCCTACCAGGTGCGCAAGGTTAAAATCTACTTCTACCTGGAGGATGGTACCATGCAGGTAACCGAACCGAAGGTGGAGAACTCCGGCATACCACAGGGTTGCCTGGTGCACCGCCAGCGCATTCCCAAGGCCCCGCCCACCGATCGTGAGTTCATCTCCATCTTTGATCTGAATGTGGACATCGATGTGCAGATCTTTGATCGGATCTACCATATAAGCGGTTGCGATGTGTTCACACGGCAGTTTCTCAATCGAGCGGGAATCTTTGTGCCGGAAACTCAGCAGGAGCCAAGGTAGGATTGGGAAGCTTTTAAATGTAGTTAGTATTCCTTTTATAAATCAACTTTTTGTAATAATTTCCTTATTCAACCCAAGTGATCCCACCACGGAAATACGCAAACGTTCTGGTTTGAAACAGACAGCGAGTTCCTGCCCATCGGCTCTTCCCAAACGGCATTCCTTTGCCCAGTTCTTGGAGTTCGACAGACGGGTACTCAAGTTCCAGGGCTATTGGAATGACAGAAGCGAATTTGGAGATGTGCGAAAGCTGGAGATATGTTATTACCTGGCAGACGACACCATTGACATAAAGGAGAAGTTCCCGAGGAATTCGGGGCGTGAGGGACCTAGTACTTTTCTAAAGCGCGGCAAGCTGCCCAAGGAGTTCACGGGGCTTCCCCTGCCGGGTCAACAAACGGCGGTGACACTGCTTAATGTCCTGGGCAATAATATGCGTGATGTGCGTTACGTAGCCGACCCGTTGAACACGGGCCAGAAGCCATTGCACTACTACAACGACCAGGATCTGCAAATAGGAGCTGTGTTGAATGTGTTTGGAAGGTCTGTGGTTCTCACAGACTGCGATCAGTTCACGCAGAGCTACTACAGGGAGAAGGTGAGTTCTTGGAGTTCTTCACCCACTTTGATGATTCATTATGATTCTTTTATATTATTCTTTTTATTTAGTATGGAATCCAGGAGTTCGAATCGCAGCCCATACCTCAACGCAGCGATGTACGACCTTACACCCAGGGCGGCGGTATGGCCACCCGTCGCCTGCCTCCCTACAACGGCTGGGGCAGCCATGAGGACTCCGAGGGCAATTGCATCACGGTGGAGCCCAAGCCGCCGCAGGCTGACTTCAAGAAACTCTTCAAGTACGATGGCTGCATCCTACGCTTCGGGGCCAAGCTGATCTCCGCCATTCGAGACAATGCAGAGCGCGACTTTGTCATCAGCTACTTTCTGGCCGACGACACGATCCAGATCTACGAGTCGTCGCGTCGCAACTCGGGCTTCCTGGGTGGCGAGTTCCTAAAAAAGGCGCGTGTTCCCTTGCCTGGTCAGGATATGTTCGGCTCCTCGCGACCGGAGTACTACAGGGCCAATGACTTTTACATAGGACGCACCATGACCCTAAAGGATCACATCTTCCACATAGTTTCAGCCGATGAGTTCACTCTGATGTACATGGAGCAGCATCCCAGCGAGGTAAGCCAGGTTGTTCTTCTTTAAAGCAGGGAATGATATATATTTTTGTATATTTAGTTCCCCGTGGCAGATATCCAAAGCATTATGCAGAAAATCCGCGATGCAGTGCGTCCCCAGTACAAGCAGTTTGTACTGCAATGCAAGCCGGATGGGGATCTCGGTGACTTTACCACCGTGGACTTTGACACGCTGCGCTCCACTCTGCTGTCGTACCTGTCCAAGGAGTGCCTGCTCAATCATGAAATTGTGACCGTGTGTCGGTATTTCTCGGCTGAACAGGCAATGCCACCCAGTTGCGACAGGGACCGAGTAAGAGCAGCAGCCCAGCTCGAACTAAAACGAGCTTTGTGGAACAGTGTAGATGACCTAAACGATCACCTAAGCCACATCAATCCGGCCTGTAAGCCGTACATCAGCGCAGCCCAGGTAAGGTCCACTTTGCGCGGATGCCGACTGCCCTTCAGTCTGGAGCTGGTGGAAGACATACTGATGGTGCTGCAGCGAAACGGACAGAACGAGATCGAGGTGCGTGACTTTTTGGCCTTCTTTAACATGCGCAACGATCAGGTGCCGGATATTGCTCCCCTCAACATTGCCTTCGAGCTGTGCCCCAAGCTGCCGTTCCTGCACAAGGGTCGCCTGGTGGACTTCACCTGGTTCCTGGCCTATCTCGGCCTAGAGGAGGAACTGAAGCGGGCCAACAGTTAAGACAGTCAACAGCAGGACTTATCAAAAATTGCATGTATATACAGAAAAATTCGTGGCAATATAACTTTCGGAATGGTGAACTTTGTGCTTAAGACCTACATAGGTGTATATTGTATCCTACAGTTTGGACTCGGTGAGCCAGTTGAATGACTGCGGCTTGCGGTCGGAGGACGGGCTGATGGCCACATTGATGATGGTCGGCCTGTCCGTCAGCTGATTGGCCGCCTTGACAGCCGCCTGCAGCTGCTCGATCTCCGTGCAGAAATAGCCCTGCATGCCGAACATTTTCATCATCTCCTCGTAGCGCACCTGAACGCCCAGTGCCGAGGGTGGCGTGCTGCAAGATAAGATTAGCCATAAGTACTGCTGCTCCCCGGAGATAAGCTGAGATAAGATCCCGGGCAAATACTTACATCTGGGTCAAATCACCCTCACTGCGAATGGCCTCAAAGGTGTCCTTGTCGAAGCCCCCGTAGATGCCGTTGTTGTTCACAATCACAATGGTCACTGGCAGCTTGTAGCGTACCATGGTCTCGATTTCCATGCCCGAGAAACCAAAGGCACTGTCACCCTCCACGCACAGGACACGCTTGCCGGGAGCAAAATCACGGCAGAAGAGGGCGGCGGCCACGGCGAATCCGGGACCCACACCCATGGTGCCAAAGGTGCCAGCATCCAAGCGATGGCGTGGCTGCTCGTTCAGCAGCATCGAACGGCCAATGTCCATGGTGTTGGCTCCCTCGCTGACAATGATCGTGTCCTTGGGCAGCAGCTCGCGCAGATGATGGAAGACCGCATAGTAGTTCAGCGGCGTCTCCGTGTTCAGCGACATCTTCTGCACGGTGTCGCGGTTCTGCTTGCACTTGACGGCCAGCTGCTTCCACCAATCCTGCTCGTAGCCAAAACGGAAGTTCACGGCGTTCATCTGCTCGAACAGTTGCTCGGCGAAGGGTCGGATATCCGCCTGAATGGCCACCGAGGCCACCACCGAGTTGTGCAGCTCCTCGGGATTAATGTCCACCTGGATGAACTTCACGTCCTTGTCGTAGCGCGGCTGCTTGCCAAAGTGCAGGATCCAGTTGAGACGAGCGCCCAACAGCAACACCACGTCCGCCTTCTGCAGGGCCAGGGTTCGGGCCGAAGAGACGCACTGGGGCGCCGTGTCAGAGACCACACCCTTGCCCATCGGCGTGGGCAGGAAGGGCAGGTTGGTGTTCTCAATGAAGTGACGCAGCGTGTTCTCGGCATGGGCATAGGCGGAGCCCTTGCCCACGATCACCAGCGGTCGCTTGGCCTGGCGCAGCAGCTTGGCGGCCCGAATCACATCGTCGTGGGGAGGATAGGCTAGTGGCGGGGCCGGATGGGGCAACGCCTTGTAGATGCGATCCTCCACAGCCTTCGACTGCAGAATATTGCCGGGGAAGTCCAAGTAGGCAACACCAGGACGTCCATAGGTGGCATAGCGCACGGCCTTCTCCACATGCAGCGGGATGAGGGCAGCGGTGGCCGGACGCGCGGCATACTTGCAATACGGCCGCGAGAGCTCCACCTGCGGGCACTCCTGGAAGCCGCCAATACCCTCATGATCCTGATTGGTGGCACCACCAATAACAACCAGCGGCCAGCAGTTCACCTGGGCATTGGCCATGCCACCTAGCGGGATTAGAGTTGGCGATTAGCACAAGCTGGTTTCTTATCTGTTAAGGGGTTTACCTGTTACATGGAGCAATCCAGGTCCGGATACCACCAGGCAGACGCCGGGCTTGCCCGTCAAATAACCAATGGCCTGGGCGGCATAGCAGGCAGCCTGCTCATTCCGCATGCCAATGTACTTTAGACCAGCAGCCTGGAAGGCCATGGACAGCTCGATGACAGGGATACCGATGATGCCAAAAACATACTCCACGCCCTGTTTGAAAAAGGAATGTACATAGTTCGGGGATTTAGATAAGATTTAGTGAAAGGAAATTGATTACTATCTTAAAATGTAGTCTAAATTTAGCAAAAACCTTCGAGTGGGTGCCTCTTATCTCTCATAAATTAAAGCTATCTTGGTGGTACATAAATCAAATAAACTTGTGAATAATTAAAGACTGTAATGACTGTAAACAAGTTAACAAAACTACTTAAATGAAATTGATTTATTATTCATTACATGAAATTGCTTTCATTCCTTCACTAAATATTGTATTTTATGGTTTTAAAAACCTTTAAAACTACTTAAAATGAATCCCTGGCCACACACACTCCCACACCGAACGGTATTCCCTGAACTAACCCTAAAATAAATGCCACAAAGTAACCAGTACCTAGCTCCATTTACCCATCAATCAAACATTTAAGAACACAAACTCAAGGAATTTATAGTGCAAATCACTAACCAATATGCAAACACGTTTTCGAGTGATTGCCCCGCCGGATGGAATCCGGTCCGGTTAAAGTTTTATTGATTTTAATCTGGCTGCCCCCTGCAGCAAGGGTGTTTGGGTCGCGGGTACTTTAGGCTAAAACCTTTGGAACATTGGCTTTATCACAATCCGTTCTCACCTGTGTTCGTCTTTTATGAACAGAAGGTATAATCGGCTGGAAACAAGCAACAACTACCAAGTGTTTTTGAACTTTGCACAACAAACAGGTGCCCAGATAAGGGGGCCGGATCCATTGTTCTTGCCAGGTCCGAAGATTCCATGGCATTTTCGGCACTGGTTGGAGGGAGGTATGCGTGCCCGAAGATCGCCAGCAAAAGATAATTGGGGAGTGCAGTAAACTGCAGTTTTGGGGGGGACATTTTGTTGGACGGACGGTGATCCTCGGCTTACCTGTTGCTTCAATGACTCGGCAATTATCTGCACGGCTTCAACCTCGGCCATTTTGTGCGCTGCTTGTGGTAATTGTGCTAGAAATGTTAAGTGCGGCGCCGCGTTACCTTGCGTACTGGCTAAAAATTAGTTAAACAAATTAAAATATAGAATCCAAGAGAAGCGGTGACCGCACTTTGAAAAACAGCAAAATACCAAATCGCTAAGGTGTGACTGTTCTCTGGCGAGGCTGAAATCGATTTCGATAAGTGTGTACGCCAGCCCTGTTATCATACCGTTATCGTTGGCGGGAAATTTTAAATTTATTCAATACATTATGAGCTTTTAAACGTTTTTGAATGTAGTTTGAGTGTAGTTGACTTTAATATTTTAAAATTATTAGTTACAAATAATTTTAGAGGGCTTATATAGCTTGATCAGTTCGATTTCCAAATTACTAAATTTAAATGTTTAATTGAGAATCACTTTTACATAAAAAAAACTCCTTTTAACTCAAAGATTAATTCAAAGTCTTTTAATCAAATCAATTATAAACATAGAATGAATGCCAAGAACAAACATATTTTACTGAATTGGAATTCCATTTTCAAAAAAATCCCCTATTAACTATTAATTAATCCAAAATCTCTTAAAGTCTGTGCTTAATCGAATAAATTTAAAGCATAGAATGAATTTTAGCAGATTATAAATTGCGCCTCAGAGCTCTTGGCACACTAAACTCGTCTTGCCATGACGTTAATTTGCAATTAAAATCGTGAATTTATTGACTGCAAAAAAGTCTGAAAAGTGTCCTCTAATTTGATTAGCATTTGACTAATTATGGGTGTCAATTCCGTTTTTTGTGCAAACACCAAATCGAATTAACTTCTGCACAGAGCTCGCCGCCAACCAGTTCGCCAAAGTGTTTCCCCTGCACAGACTAACGTCGTTGGACGAACTGGTTTCGGATACACCTGACGCATGGAGGCAGAACTCACTCACTCACAGGCCCCCCCAATAAAAACCATAATTGTTAATAATAATAAATACACGGCTAAAGCTTTAATAGGACTCTCCTCCATAAACAACAAGCACACATCGGAGTTATGGCATAATACTAAACGTAAGCAACATCACAGGTGGATTGCCAAAGCACAAACTACAACTTTGTGTTGACAATATCCTCGCGCGACTCGGTGGTCTCCACCTCGTTCCACTTTTGGATCTTGCCGGATCCAAAGACCCAGAAAAACAGGGCGGGCAAAATGTAGGCAGCGGCACCAATAATAAAGACCCAATGCCATTGATCGATGGTGTTCTGAAAGTTAAATTAAAAATTAATATAGAATACTTTAAGATATTTAAAGGTTGTTATAACAAACCTCGTTCTTTGTGAAGGCTGCCACAATTAGAGGCGAGAAGATGCCCGGAGTGGTGCCAACGCAGTTGATAATTCCGTACAGCGTTCCTGCATAGTTAGGCGCCAAATCCTGCGAGTTGGCCAAATTGGAGGCCGTGGCAGCGCCGTTGAAGCCCAGGGAAATGGTCATAATAGCCACGCACACGTAAGGATCGCGTCCGAAATAGGCCAGGATAATCAGCATGATGCCAGGCAAGATGTGAGCTAATTCAAATAACGATTACTATAATTATATTCTATTTAATAAAGATTTTCCAAGTTGACTTACAGGGCAGACAGAAGGCCTTGCGCATGCGTGTGACGGTCCACCAGCCGCGTCGACGTATCCAATCCGCCACAGCCCCAAAACCAAAGGCACAGAGCAGACGTGCCACATGGGGTAGACTGGACAAGAAGCCGGCGGATGAAAGATTGAAACCCAAAACCTCGCTCAAGAACTTGGGCGTGGCGGTGATCAGGAAGAACAGGCCCCACATGCTGCCATAGTGGAGCAGCATTAGAGACCAGAAGGGCAGAGACAGGATCAGCTCCTTGTATGGAGGCCATTTCTGGAAAGGAATACGAAATAAATAAATACAAATACAAATGTGTGTGTAAAAATTGTCCCTAAAATGGCACTTGAGGCCAGTTAGCAAGTCTTCATTATTAATTTCTGGGTAAACTAAAACATTGAGAAACCCAAGAGATAAACCCCAAAATAAAGTAATAACTTAATGAATACTAATTAATGAAAAAATTCCCCACTTTGACTCATATAATCTCCATTATATTTTGTGAAATTTAATAGGTTTTCGAAGAAGGGAAATTGTATATAATATTTCCAAATAAAAACGAGGTTAACAACTTACCTTCTTGTTGCTCAGTGTGTTGCCCAAACTGTTCTCAATATATTCCCTTTCCTTGAGACTGATACCGCTGTGCTTGGCAGGAGTATCGGCCACTAGGTAGAACCACACAGCCACCACAATCAGCACGAATATGCCCACGATATAGAAGGCCCAGTCCCAGCCCAGATTCTCTATGATAACACCACTGATGGGCCAAGTGATGACAGTTCCGAATGTGCCTCCCATCAGAGAGGCCACAAACTTGCCCTTCTCATCGGGCGGTGACCATTTGGACACCAGACTGTGACAGCAGGGATACACCACTCCATTGAGGAAGCCGATCAGGAAGCGCACGGCAAACACAGCATACTTGTCCCAGGCAGCGGCGGCAGGAGTCAGAGCAGTAAGGATACCAGCCACCAGACAACTGTAACCAGCCACATTACGGGCTCCAAGCATTTCGGCCAAGGTTCCAGCAGGCAGGGAGGTGATCATGTAACCATAGAAATAGGCTCCCAGGAGTAGGGCCTGATCTGATTGCGTCCAATTGTAGCGGGGGCCATACTAAGGGAGAGTTAATGAAAAGATTTCAAATTAATTAATATTTTAAATAAAACTTATCTTAATCAAAACAATTAAAAACTGAAGCAGGGATACGTTTTTAAGGTTTTTAAGCACAAAGTTAAGTTCAAGTTAATAATAAAATAAATAAAATATTCCCATTAATATTAAGTCACACTCATTTCAAGGGTTTTTGTTGAGAAAGTTAAATTAAAAGTAAATATTTTCTAGGCCATTTTATTTTCACTTTTCGAGGAATTCAATTTGCGTCAATTAACTTATTTTATTTTTATTTTTGGAATCGAAAAAAGGGTTATTTAAGCTGCTAATTCACAAGTTTAATGTGCAAAAAAAAACCCCACTTGCTTTCGGCAAATATTAGTTAATAAACCCAATTGAAAATATACATATAATTATTTTGCTTTCCACACTCACATCAGGCAAAGCCTCAACGGTGCCATTCTCATGGCTGCTCTGGTCATTCACCATGGCAATAATGTTGATTGAGAGATTCACTCGCATCATATAGCTGAGAAGGCAGGCCATAAAGAGCATAATAGCCACGTTGATCCGCTTGGGCACATAGACTGCGAACGACAGTAAATATTGGTTATTGACAAAGATGGGATCAGGCACAGGCCCCTCGCAGTAGATTAGGCCAATTAGCGGATCGAAAATCTCCAGATAGATCTCTTTATTCCGTGGCGCGGGCACCTGACTCAGATCTCTAATGGGCCGCGCATGCGCAAATTTCAATATTTGTGATCGATTTGATTTACGGGGGATTTCACCTCGCCGAACGGTGAACGCGGAGATCACGTGAGGCGTTATTCATAAGATATTTGGCGAATCCCCGACCGAGCGTGTGGCAATACATTTTTGGAGGTGGAGAGTACTTACAGCACGGCATGAAGGCCATTTCGGCGGCTTTTGTTGTGGCTCCGGTTGCCGTGCGTCAGGTGTCAGCTGAAAGGCGAAAAATAACAGGAAGCTGTTAGCCAGACATTTATGCAGATCATTTCGGGGTCCGGGTACTTTCCGCGGCATTTGATAAAAAAAATAAATAAGTTATTAAGTGCCGGAGAGTCAGCTTTGGCTATTTTTGGAAACAGCTAATCTCAAAGATGTCTATAAATTTTAACAGATTAACATTTTATGTTCATTGGCGTCACAAATTATACACCAAAAACACGATCATAAAATTATAAATGCAGAAAATGGCAATAAAATATATGGAATATATTTAAATAATCTATTTAGTCATCTGGATTAATAGGTTTTGGGTTTAAGAATGATTTAGAACTCTAACAAAACTGTTTTTTAAGTTTTAATTAAAAGAAATTGATAGAATAAATTAATTATTACTATTATATTTGCCTCATCACTCTGAAATTTTGTCTATTAATTATTATGATAACTGGGATTGGCTATACATTTAATTTAATTGAAAGCAAAATGGCAATTTGCCAACAGGTTGTGGGTAACAGAAATAAAATTATTGGTAAAAAAAATAAATGAGAAAACATTAAAGATGAGCTTTTAGTTTTAAATAATTTATGTATATTAAGTTGCAAGTTATATTTTTAAACTGTAATAAATTGTATAAATTATTTTTAAATTTTGTTATTGTATTAGGTAATGTTAATAGTCAACTTAAGGAAAAGTTAGGTAATTTAAGGAAAACAATTTATACGTAAATTTAAAAAAAAATGTCAAGATTTTGTTTGTGAACTGTAATAAAACTGCCTTTCTTTACTGACATAAATAATTTTGATTTATTAAGATTTAAATATAAGTAAAATCTCTACAACTGAGATAATACAAAAAGACAGTCAAGCATGGCTAAATCGGTTTGGCTGTTGATACTTATAATTATACAAAATTACTACTATTAATTACTTTCCTACAAAACTAAAATCAGTATATATCCTTTCACAAAGAGGGATAATATCAGTTTTGTAAAATAATTGCTCTCATTATTATTAGTCTTAAATATAGTCTGTGATCATCACTAAAAATACCTAAACAAAAACTACAATTGAAAATTACAACTTTTATCTGAAATCTCTAATTAGTTGAATATAGAGTAAGTGTAACAAAACGTGTAATATATATTCCAGCAATAAAGCCGTCACACATTCAAGTGCCCACTATTTAGTTTAAAATATAAGTAGTTACAGTTTAAAAGTGATGACCGATTAGGGACAGACACAGCTACATATATGTCACAATAACAGCTCGATTATAATAACTGCACGTGTTGGGGTTCTGTTTAGAATTAAACCCAGCATTTCCGACATTTCGAGAGCGTTTAGTAACGTTAAAATTGCTATGGCTTTGGTATCTGCGTGCATTGCTGCACTTGTCTAATTTTATAAGCACGTCCCACTTGGCACGTGAGGGCCAGACCAAGCTGTTGGCCATAACAAAATGCATAAATAAAATCAAATAACCAGCAAACACCCTCCGATCGAATAATATTTCAATGTTTCAACAATGTCATCAGGGTTGAGAGGAAACGTATTGATATGACGATCTTGTAATTGCCCGGCAGCATGCTAAGCTTACTTTCAAATTATCCTATCCCCCAAGTGATCTGGCGATAGTATTAACTTAGAACTCATCGCTTCGTAGCCGTAAGTATTTCTGGTAATTGAAGCATTTAAACAGCTGCCTGCGAACAAAAGAAATGTTTGAGCACAAGCCTTTCAACTTTCTCGTTCATATAATCGTATATATACACATATAATATATGTAAATAAAGAGGGTAACGAGTTCTGGAGGTAGTTTAAATATAAAAGCCTGCTCAATTATGGCACAGATAATTTATGACGTCGAAAGTCTGTCATTTTGAAAGTAAATCCAAATGATTATGCCCAAAAATCGTACCACATTCTCAATAAGTATTCTATGGTTACCTTAAATCTTTATTATTAACATTGAGAGAAACCCATAAATTCACGTTTTATGAAGGCTTTCCTTCGAAGCCGATAAGTAACCAATCAAATTTATCAATGGATTCGATCCCTGGAACCCCAGAACAAGCGCCGGTGTTATCTTTAACAGCAGCAGCAGGCACGGTCCCCTTTTTTGGGAAGTACTATATAGATGCAAACAAATGGCAATAAAAAGATATACCATTTAACTACTTGTAAGCTTATATTTCAGACTCCGAAAATAGATACACCATATCGTATCCTCCGGCTAGAGATAACTGTAAGGGAGAGGTAACTAAAGGCCGCCACCAACTTTGGCCTTGCTAACGTGACTTGGTTGTGAATTCCCTTAGATGATTGATTCGGGAAAAAAACTAATTGAAGGCAAACAATCGAAAAGGCAGCATATTTTGGTCACTAGATTCAAATTATTGATGATTCGCAAATACGTGAAGGTGAATTGAAATTATTTTAATTATAGGTATATACATTCCTAGACAAGATCAAAAAGAACGCTGCTGACTGACCTTCGGTATTAATTTGGGGCCTAATAGTAAGTTACTGAACCTCTAATTAGCGTACTCATTACAACCAACTCTGGATCCGGAGTCCCGATAAACCCCGAAAGCATTCTGAAAGCCTAAACAAATCATTACAGCAAGAGGCACTTCTTATAATCAGGTTTTCCCTGGTAGTATATGTATGAGGAAATTGAGTTAACGCCAGCGCCAGCCTCTTCTCTAATCTTAAGCGTTACGGTTTTTTATCAACACCGTGGTTGCCATTGACTCTTCATAAAATCAGCTCGACAATTTATGGGCCATAAAGAGGCCTTAAAAAAAGTATATAAAGTATAGTCGAATATATGGCGCATGGACTGGTCGTGATAAGTCAGTCATTAGGCTTGTAAACGACGATCATTAGAGTCAGGTTAATCGTCAATGAGCCGCAATCGTAGTGGACTCTTTTGTTGTTGGACTCTCAGCTGGGGTAATACTTTCATGTATTGCCCCGATAAATGATTTGATTTACAGCCGAAGCTCGGTTATATCGTAGGATCAAAGTCACTATAGTATGTTGAGCCACAGCGAGCGAGTCCAAAGATGTAGCAAAAATGTTGGTTATTCACAACACGCGTTTATTATTTACATAAGACTTTTGCGGTGGTGTGTTTGTCCACTTGACATGGTTTGAGGTGGGTCTCAGCTTGGTCTTTTCTTTGCCTTGAATCCCCCCGAGTTGAGGCTTTGGCACTTATCAACGGGATTTGCCGTAGAATTCTGCACAAATTAACTTTTGATGGCAATCAAGCGTAACTGAAAACAAACAAATCGAGGCAGAGGCAGAGGTAATGAACCCAGTTAGCTGCCAGCTTTATTGTAGTAGATCATTGTTTTTATTGTTTTTGCGAATTTCGGGTTCTCATAGCCTCCACTCTCACTCGAAACGTACTGGCATTTTGCACCAATTCCCATTGAAATCATATAATTTGTGTTTTTTGCATTTTTGCACGTTATAATTAAATTTCGGAAAAATACAAACACACATACAATTACGTGGCGCATGTAATATAGACTCTATAATGATTTTAAATACCAGTACGATTCGGTTTTGGAATGAAATAATGCCAAATCAATGCGACAATTGCTAAAAATTGCACGCGCATGTTAACAAATATCACGAGTGGGGCAAATATTGTCGCGGGCTCTGTGTTTATAATTCAAATATTTCACATAACAAAAAAAATTGTTAACCTATTCCGAATATATATAGCGTTGCATAAATCAAAAGCTTAGCTGAATATTTTGCGAAGACTCAAACCTGTACATTAACCTAGATACTTCTTTCAATCCGCCTGCCGCCTGTCTGTCAGTCGGTCCAAAGTCTCCCCAATCCTGGTCGAAGCCAACCCAAAATCAGCACCAAATTGGGATTATAGCTTCCCGGCTGTGGTTGCCAAGGCCTGGAATTAACGGAACCCAGAGATCACTTGTCCGAAAGCGCAAAAAACCGAAAACAAATCGAAATTGTTTCGAATAGTGGTCGCGGTTCAATGAATCGACAATAACGAAACCAGTTATTATTTGAAATGCAAATTTTTTTGTCGAAATTAACGCCAAGCACAGAAAGAAAATCTTAAGATTTTCTAAAAGTTTATATTTTATCGAAACCTTTTAAATACTTTTTAAGTTAAGTTACCTTTCAAACTTTTTTATTTTTAAACAAGAACGAAACTTTTGCTATTTATTAATATTTAAATATTTCAAATTTGATAGTTTTGAACCCTTGAAACTATATTGTTTGTATACAAATGAACCCTTAAAAATCTCTTATTTTCTATTAATATTTTCCAAGACAAAATTTTGAAAATAGTTCTGAAACTTTTTAATTTTGAATAACAGCTTCAGAAATATATAATTTAAGCTTACACAATTTAGTATTAAACTTTTTTTTAAGTGTTTAATATTTATTCATGGATAAAAACTAGATGAAAGAGGGCTTGTCTCTCTGAAGTGGCCTATACTTCTTGTTCTTGACCTTTTTATATTCGAAAAACTGAAATAAATCGATTAAAAATCGATAAAGTAAATCTAAAAACACAAGTTTGATCCAATTAATATAGAATTTAAAAAGAAAAATAAACTAGTTATTAAATTAAAATGATATTTGGTGTAAATCAAGGTCTTAAAGACCATTAATAATACATTTTTTACACAGAAAATATGCAATGAAACGCACTGTTCCGTTCAACAATAACAACAAATCGCGATCACAAAACACTAAAATTTCATCTCCGTTTATCTTTGCTTATGTTTTCGTCTCGTACTTCTTCGTGGCACAAATTTTGCATGGAATTTTTTCCACCAACACAGAAAGCCCCCGAAAAAATATTGGCAGACAATCTCCTGTGATGATTGTCAGATGAAGGGCCAAAAATGAAGTTTAAAATCAATTTAGAGATTTTTTCGAAAATCCAAAAAATTGTACTAAGCCGGGACTCACTTTGTAATTGATACTTTTGTATATTTTTTGGGGGGAAACGGAGAGCCCGCCACCGAAACACTGCTGAGAACGTCGCGCGGTGAATGAAGCTAAATCGCCGACTGCCAATGGCATATATACTTGGGCGACGTTTTTAAGCAAAACTTCCACCTGCCGCAGCAGCAGCAGTAGTCTCAGTCTCAGTTTCAGTCTCAGTTGCGCTGGCAGCAGCAGTAGCAGCGAAAACGGTTAAAAATTGTTTAAATTGTTGCCGACGGACGACGGTTGACGGTTGAAGCTCGCCGTCGTCGATTGGCTTTTAACGCTTTTTGATAGCATGCCAAAAATCGCATGCGATTTGCCCACAAAAAACCCGCGAAATTTTTAAACAAAACAAAAAAAAAGTTCACAAAATTGTGCTAAAATGTAAATCAATAAACACGGTGACTAAGAGTCAAAAATATAAATCCCGTACTCAACTCTACTGACTTATCCAGTTGAGTGGATTTTAGAATAGATTATTTTCATTACTTATTTGTTGAAAACAACAAAAAAAAACCCGTCTTGAGCTCAATAAACTTTATAAATAAAAAATATCGCTCATAAACACGTGTGGCTATAACTTCACTTGACCGTTTCACTTGTTTCATAATTTGCTTAATTAACGCAATTGGCAAATGTCAGTGAAAATCCACAGCGGCGTATAGCCCACTTTATTGACTTTATTAATTATTAATTATTAAGTAAATAAATATTCACACACTCCTCTTTCTCACCTGGTTTTCAGATTGATAAAGTCCGAGCCCTTCTGAACGCTTTGGCGACTTTCCGCAGTTTAACTTGGCTTCCTGGCCCAACTATCTCACGATGTGTGTGCCATAAAGTAAGCCACATTATCTCCCTGTGCCAACAAACCTATGGTTGCCAGCTCCATAAAGCTTAATTGATGCATTTAGCTGCTTGTTCCCGATAAGCAAAAGCAGCAGCAGCCACCACAATGATGAGTGAAAACATCTGTCCTCTTGTCTGTCTTACGTTATATATTCATGACAAGCACCTTTTACCATGCTGCTGTTGACAAATCCATTTGCCGTGATGATAATAATATCGTTACATGAATTTAATTTAAAACAACTGCTCTTGATAAAGCTAATTTACTTGGGTACATCATTGGCTAAGGTAACTTTTGATTATAAACAATTAGAAGAGTTTTCTTTAATTACAATCTTTAAACAGAGAGTCTAGACAAATTTTGAATTCATATTTAGGACATATTTACGAAGAGCATACGGCTGGCACAGACTTTTCCCACAAGCTTGCTGTACTCCACAATGGTTTCACGTTCGCTTTCGCGTTCGTGTTCGCTATCCTGATTAGGTAACTGTGGGAAATATACATTTTTATTAGGACTTTTTGTTTTTAAATAAGTTTTATAAATCTACCTGCTTGTAATGTTTGTAATCAGTGCAGGTTCGGGCATCCAACAACAGCATAACTGTGTCTAAATGCTCCAGCAAAAACTCGTTTACATCACGGGCGCTGGGGTCGGGATTTAGGCGGTGATATTTTTGTTCGTCTAGCTTAGAACGTATGGCTGAGGGGAAATTTAAATTTATTATTAATATAAAGTATTTAAAAATTAAAGATTTAATGCTTAACTCACCATCGGTAAGCAGAAACCACTCATAAGTCTCTGGGCACAGCAAGTACGAGGCAGACAACTTGCCCTTGTAGCGCATTTTGGGACACGAGTGTATGTAAAAGCCCATGTAATAATTTTTCAAGGCGGGCACACTCTCAGCAATAGTCTGCACCAAGTCAATTTCTCTAAAAAAGTAAATATACATAAATTAATTAAGAAGTTCCTCAACCTTTATAGTTATATATTTCCCACCTGAGTGACCCATAGGTTCCCAGCGACAGAAAGCTATAGTCTGGATCGTAGAAGAAGTACACTGAGCTCACGCAGGCTGGCAGAATGTCAATCACGCCCACGGCAATCAGTTGATCGTCCAGCCAATACTGCTGATGAAACGAACCATAACCCATTTCGGGTCCATCGCTGGGGTTTTCATTCTGTAATTGCAAAGAAAAAACTAAAGTCAGTTTACTATTAAATTTTTTAGGGTTTAAGAATCCTTTGATTGCGTCAACCTTCATGGGCGTCACTTGCAGATGATCCTTATAGGCCTCCCGATCCTTGGGCGGATCATTATGTATCGATATCTGGTACTTCGAGTATAGAGCAAAGCTCGCTGGCAGTGTTCGCTTAAATTCCTCGCCATGGACCGGCACCAGTCGCAGCTGTGAATACAATTTGTGTGATAAAATAAAGTTTGATAATTACCTCCAAGGATGATTTGACCAAGAACCGCTGCATACTGGCTAGGGTGAGGCGTGCGGGGTTATCGTGGTGAATGGCTATTTGGTATTTGCGATACAAGGCTATCACTGCATCGGAGCAGGTGCGTTGTGTGTCTGAGGAAGCGACCAAAACGATCTGCAAGAACACAAAACAGCACAACAGACAGTGTGTAGAGGGGTTGGGGAAACACACACACATACACAGAGAGAAAATACGAATAACACAAGAGGAACACGCTAACCTAGCCAAGATTTGCAAACGGTCTAACAAATAATAATACTTCCTTACTATATTTCAAACTCACCTTTAGCTGGTGTTTGTTGGTTTTGGTGTCGCTCTCGTTGGTGGACAGAAAATCGCGCAAGCTCTTCTCCTGCGAAAGGCAGACCTTTGAAGGCAGCGATTCTGTGTCGCCCAGCTTGGCTTGACGGCGCTCTAGTCGCATTTGCTTGGCCTTTTTGCGCGGTGCATTTGAGATCGGTGCTGCAGCTAAAGGAATTGAAGTGGATTGTGATTCCAAGAACCCCTTAACATCTTTTTCGTAATATTATACTCACATTTGTTAGGTCCCAGCGTTGAAGCTTGAACCGGCGGCACAGACACTGAGGCTGCCGATGTCGCCTGCTTGGCTGGCTTCTGCTTCTGAGCCTGTGCCAATGACGTAACCTCCTCCACATTGATCAAGGCCGGACTCTTATCGGGCAGCTGCGGCTGCGGCTCGCTGGCAGTCACATCGCCACCTCCTGGCCCGTCATCGCCGTCTCCATCGCCAGTGCCAGTGCCAGAACCAGGGCCTGACTCACGCTTGCCGTCGCGCAAAAATCGATTCATGCGACGCAGAATGCGCTTGTGGGACTTGGACAGCTTGAACTCCAGGGCATCGCATTTGATGGTGTAACACGGGCAACAGGTCTCCCGATTGCGCATCTTGTAACAGTAGTTCCCGCAGCGCCGCCAGCCGCGATCGATGAGATCCTGATAGTCCTGGCAGTCCAGCCGATACGAGTGCATGCCTGCATGATGGTGACCAAAAACCTTTCGGTTTCAGTACATTGCACTTGAACCGGAAAGGGGGTAGCGGATTCTTACCGTGCGACTTGCTGCAGTTGGTGTTGGCGCAGTAGCCGCACTTGCCCAGCTGGCTGCCGAAATATTGGACAATGCTCACGCTCATGTTCCTGCTTGGGCGAAGGTGCCGGTCAATGAACGCACATAGTGCAAATTTAATGAAGATGAATTAATTGCACGAGCCGCTCGCTCGATTGCGACATTTTTTGGAGATGCGCAAACTTCGATGTCAGTATCGATATAACCTTTTATCGATAGCCTCGTAAAATATCAAAATACCGTTCGCTAGCTAGGGATTCTTAGTTCGCCGCCAACGGTCACACTGGCCAGCAATTAAGTTAATTCGGCCAAAAGTTTTTCCACAAATTTGTAATGTTAAAAGCCGCTTTGGATGAACTGATTAAAAATGAATTAACTTGCAACCACGGGGCCTTTATTCTGTGAGTATGCGGTCATAAAATAGAGAATTGGAGTCTCCAGAGGGTGCATTAACCCGGTTAATCTGGGTTAGTGCGTAGTAGTTGTCAAGTGAAAGTTTTTTATTGCATTTCTCGAGAGCTTATTGCACCGACATGTTTTCGAAAACTCGTTATTCACGGCCAGAATGGCCCGCTATTAGATTACCCTGATTGCATCATTGGTTCCACAGAAATCCATGGCTTTTATGGCCACTCAAACCAGCTGCTCGAGACCCAATCTAACAGTCCAGCGACCTTCAGTCAGTCAGTCTTCCTGTAAAAACAATGTAAAACTCGGACATTGTTCGCCGAGGCAACAAAAGAAGTAGTAATTGTTTCTAATTAATCGGTTTCCTTGGCAGAAAACAATGATTGACGCGGCTTCCGCCGAGCGGGGCAGCCCCAAGCTCAGTGCCCTCTTTAATGACAATCTGAAACTGGCGCACCAAGACGATGGCCACCAGCCGGTCGCCACCAGCAATGGCAAGGCGGCATCAGGAACGATAGAACCACCGCCACCCCATGTACCCGCCGAGCTGAAGGCTTCTTACCGCAGCTTGTACGCCGCTTGCCAGGATCACGCCGCCTTCTTCGCCAAGGACCACACCGAATACGGGCAGCGCCTGCACGCCGCCCACATTGCCTGGCAGGACTTTATTGTGCTGGCCAACCGCTTGGTGCAGCAGATCGAGGCCTTTGCCCACGAGTACGACTTCGATGAGGAGACACCGGGAAATGGATACCGCAGCTTCGTCTACGTGACCAACGCCTGCATTTCGCACGGCGTCAGCATCTGCAAGCAGCTTTCAACGACCCGATCGACGCTCTTCTTTCGCAAGAAACTCCTGATGAAGGAGGTGGAGGCCTGCTCACAGCTGTTGTCCTCACTGTGCACCTGCCTGCAGTACCTGCTCATCCTGCGCCAGTGGTCGGCCAGCACGGGGGACCTGTTCGCCTGCGGCAATCACACGGCCGAGCAGCTCTTCGAGCTGGGCGACACCATCAATCAGTATTGCTTCTACGGTCGCTGTCTGGGCTTCCAGTACGGCGACTCGATACGCGGGGTTCTCCGCTTCCTGGGCATCAGCATGGCCAGCTACTCGGAGTCCTACTACTCCCAGGAGGGCGATGGGACCATAGTCAAGACCACCCGCAGCCTGTGGACCAGCGGCAAGTACCTAATGAATCCGGAACTGCGAGCCCGCCGCATCGTCAACATCTCGCAGAACGCCAAGATTGATTTTTGCAAATCCTTCTGGTTTTTGGCTGAATCGGAACTGATGCACAAGCTGCCCAGCATTGTGGGCAGCTCCATTAAGGTGAACCGGCTGATAGAGCTGCCAGCGGAACCGCTGAAACTGCCGCGACGAAAGGACTTCAAGCCTTCGGAGAATCCCGGCAGCGATGTGAACCAGAACCAAGGTGATGACGATTTCGTGGAGATACCCGTGCCTTCGGCTCATCTGGGACCTGGCCTGCCGGTTTCTGTGCGCCTGCTGAGCGCCAGAAGACGTTTGGGCATGCTGGGCGAGGGTCGCTATCGTGGCTGGCACAAACCCACTCCGCCCAGCCGCTCCATTCTGTTTCACTGCCATGGCGGCGGCTTTGTGGCCCAGTCCTCAAAGTCCCATGAACTGTACTTGCGCGACTGGGCCGTGGCTTTGGACTGTCCCATACTCTCGGTGGATTATAGCCTGGCACCGGAGGCTCCGTTTCCGCGAGCCTTGCAGGAGGTCTACTATGCCTACTGCTGGCTGCTTAAAAACACCGAACTGCTGGGCACCACGGCCGAGCGGATTGTGTGTGCCGGCGACTCGGCGGGAGCGAATCTCTCCATCGGAGTGGCCCTCAAGTGCATCGAACAGGGGGTACGAGTGCCGGATGGTCTGTTTCTGGCCTACTGCCCCACCCTTGTCAGCTTTGTGCCCAGTCCGGCACGCCTTTTGTGCCTGATGGATCCCCTGCTGCCCTTTGGCTTCATGATGCGATGCCTTCGTGCCTATGCCGCCCCCGCCCAGGAGACGCTGCAGGAGAATGCCAGGCATGTGGAGGATGCAGCCCAGATACGAAATGCCCCAAAGTCGAATGTGGGTAGCTTGAACTCCAGTCGCCGCACATCGATAGCCCGAAGTCCGTTGACGCCGCTGGAAGCCAACACGGAGCAGGATGACGAAAGCAGCGATACTTTTGCCAGTGCCTCGGCCTCGTACCACAGCCAGACAGTGGAGCGAACCGATCTGCCCAACAGCGAGAACGACAACAGTTCGTGTGTCTCCTTTGAGGATGACTCTCAACCCATTGTCCACTATCCCGTGGAAATATCGGCCGACACGCCCAAGGATGCCGCCTCAGCTGCTTATATAGATAATTTCCTGGACAAGTATCTAATTGATACGGCCACCATGGAGGCCACCGAAGAGACAGCCGCCCAGGTATCACAAGGACAGGCCAATGGACATGCTAAAGTCAGCTCCGATGACAATATTCTGGTGGAAACGGGTCGCGATCTTATAGCAATAGACACGCTGCAGGGACGGCTGCAGGAGGCCGTTAACAACATAACCAACACTTTGACCCGCTGCACGCAATCTTATGAGATCAATGGTAGCTCGACGTTGGGCCAGCAGGACGTGCGAAATATGGATGCACTGATAGCACGTAGCCCCAGCGAGGAGTTTGCCTTCGATGTGCCTAAGGATCCCTTTCTGTCGCCCTATTGGGCCAGCGATGAGTGGCTATCCCAGCTGCCAGAGACCAAGATACTTGTAAGTTTTCACTAAGCCCCGGAATTCTATATAAATATTATATTCTTCTTGTTATTTCCCATTTAGACACTAAACATGGATCCCTGTCTGGATGACTGCGTCATGTTTGCCAAAAAGCTGAAGCGCCTGGGCCGCCAAGTCAACTTGGAAATCCTAGAGGGCCTTCCGCATGGTTTCCTTAATTTCACCATGGTAAGAAGGCCACTTTAAGGGGGTTTCCTGAATTAGGAGGCAAAAAAAATCGATTTTTTTTTTATTGCTTAAAACGATAGATAAACTATCTAAGAACATACCACAAAAATTTCAGAAGCCAATTCGAAGTATTTTTGAAGATACAGAGATGAAAGCAAAGGAGCGCCCAGTAGGTTTGCAGGCGCTTGGCGAACTTTGAAGCGCGTTTTCTCCACTTCACATTTTTCGAATTGGCGGGAGAGATAACTAAAAAACTTGTTGACCGATTGAAACGAATAAAGTCTTATTCTCTTTAGAATTAAACTACAACGGTTGTTGAAAACCGCTTTTTATATATTTTTACAGCATGTTAAAGTCAATATTTTATCCCGAAAAATGCAATATTGACTTTAACATGCTGTAAAAAATATAAAAAGCGGTTTTCAACAACCGTTGTAGTCTATTTAGAAGAGAATTTAATTCTAAAGAGAATAAGCCTTTATTCGTTTCAATCGGTCAATAAGTTTTTTAGTTATCTCTCCCGCCAATTAGGGACTTCTGTGACGAGGCGCTTCAGTAAACTACTTATAAGTCCGCCATTTTGAATTTTTTTTTTTTTTTTAATTTATTTAAGCACTTTAAATATGTATAAAAATATACCAAAAATTGCAAGAAGCTTGGTCGTTTCTTTACCTTCCAAAAAAAATCGCGAAAAACAGCTATTTTTTGGCCTCCTAATTCAGGAAACCCCCTTAAGCTCCCTAAAAACTCCAATAATTTTCAAACTTATATTTAGTTATCCAACGAAGCTATGGAGGGATCCAAGCACTGCATTAAATCTCTACAGACGTTGCTTCAGTTGAAGCCGAAGCACAAAACAAACGATGACAAAGGCAGCTCCCTGGATGAGGACGAAGTGTCATCCAGTCCCAGTGCAAGCCTGGCAGCTTCATAGGACGAGTTTAAATCGGTCTATATACCTATAGGTTTGGAGAATCTCACACCCGAAGGGGATGAATAAATTTCAGTATCCATTGCTATAGGTCTTTAGATTAGACATATACGCCGCCGCGCCACGCCGCCGCCGCCGCCGATTTTTGCCTTATTTGACGCGCCGCCGCCAAATTATGAAAATAACGGCGCGCCGCGGCGCGCCGCTGGTGCGGCATCGGCGCAGCTTCAGCGCGGCCTTCAGTGTCATTGTTCTTTATAAAACTTAAAAAAAAAAAAATAACTCATTAAAATGGCCTTTTTGCCTTATTTGACGCGCCGCCGCCGCCGGTTCTTTCTGACTACTACGCCGCCGCCGCCGAGTCATTTTGACCTCTACGCCGCCGCCGATGCCTTTAACCATCGGCGTAAACCTCTACTTTAGATCGAATTTTGTTATGCGCAGGAACGAATTGTTCATTGTTAAAACGCACTCTTCTTGCTTTTTATTTTCTATTACTTTGTAATCTCAACATTTTTTATACACACACTTTTATATGACACTGCTTTCTATGTTTTATATACTCACAAAATATGTCTAGGATATATGATATGTGTAGCTATTAGCCATAAGCAAGCCAAGTATGCAAGTATTGGAAGCGTGTAAACACGCAAAATATTTATTATATTTACAACTAACGAATGCTCTTGATTCCCAGGCACACACACACTCGCTAAGAGAGCAGCTCCCGAATATGTGCCTGATATACGATACGAGTACTTATATACATTTGTAAGAGGATAATCGCTCATATTGCCCTTATTTTGACCACCCAATAGTTTGTCCAGTATGGAGGCTAAACCAGTTAAACTTCAAATATGTTGGAGATATGCTTAGTTTTCTTTGCCTATCCCAAAAAACCCCGTCTTAACTTATATCCTAGGTACACCAGGTGTTTTTTTGATAACAAATACTCTTTACATACCTACCATATATGTGTGCAATCTCTCTCCTTAAACTATACCCAGTGTTAAACATAAAACATTAAATGCTTATAAAAGGTTATTACCAGTAAATGGTTTTTATATCTATGGGGAGGGTGTATGCTTAATATCTTAGCAACATTTTGTTCAAGATTTATATCAATTAAAGCAAAATTGACAAAGTTATGCATAGTTGAACTTCAAAAAGTGTAAAACGCTTTCATTTTGAAAGTCGGTTTACACGATAACTCAAGATCTACTCGTTTTCCACCGAACTAACCTTAATATCATGACATTTCTAAGGAGTTATCCCCGTTTCAGCTCTTTAGGACTCATATTTAGTCTCTAAACAAAAACTAAACCATTTAACACTATACAGTATCGCTTTTTATTGATCAAAATTTGCGGAATTTGCTTAAACTTAGGAATGAATTGTACGTGAGGAGGAGGATGAGTGGTTGCGAGAGAGAGGGATATAAATATAAAAAGAACAGCTGCTGCCATGTCTTATGTTTCATTATCCTCAATCTTGGGCGCCAGGTAGTAGCGTATGTGGCCCAGGTCCTTGATCGCATACTCCACTACCAGCGGCACATCGGCGCACATTGACAGCTGCACCTGGGTAGACAATGGCGTCGCCTTTGTGAAGGCGTTCAGGTAGCGACAGGCAAAGGTAAGCGTTACGGGCTCCTGCATTTCAATGATAACTGCCTCTTCCTCCTTGTCCACTGATCCGGTTTGGGCCAACTTAATGTTGGCAGTGCCCACATCGCCGCTGGCCGAGAACTTGACGCCCTCCTTGGTGCAGCAGATGACAACGGATTCGCTGAACTGGGCCAGATCGCGGCAGATGCGCGCAAATTCCATGGCCGGCATACGGACCACGCACGAGAAGTCCGTCTCCGGAATGCCCAGGTGCTCCTGGTCAAGGTTCATCAGCTTCATCTCGTAGTCGGAGACCTTCTCCTGGTTGGCCGACTCGAACATGATGGTGACGGTGTCGGCGTTGTCCTGCGCCTTCATCGTCACGTTGTCCTCGTTGTTGGCGCACTTCAGGATCTTAGCCATGCTGCCCAGGTTCATGCCCATGGACAGGTTGCGGTCGCAGCGGAACTTGTCGAAGCCATCGGACCGCAGTGTCAGCGACACGAGGGACACATGGGAGTTGTCCATGGCCTGCAGCTGTGGATGGATGGAACAAAGTGGTGGGTGAGTGGCAATGTCCACATGGCATGCGTTGTGTTGGCACTTACCTGGATGCCGGAGTCACTGCAGTCGAAGGTGGCCTCGTTCAGCAGGTCCTTGATGGCGTCGAGGATCTTCTTCAGAATGGTGGCTTGACCCAGGCGTGCCTCAAACATGTTGGTTCTTGTGTATTACTTGTTATCACGAAATGCAACTTGTGCGATTGCGGGGCTCTTTTTGGCCAATTTCTGATGCGGAGCTAGGGGTTAGCAGGAAAGATCAATGATGCTTCCACGGCGGCGAATTTAATACGAGTGACGAACGCGGAATTTTCGCGGGAATTGCGCGAAACAGGCGGGATAGGGATGTGGAAAACATATCGATGTATCGATATCATAATAAAAATATTTTTATCGTGATTTTTTCTTGTTATAAATATTTTGATATTTAATAAAATTAAGATTTTTAACATTTGTTTTCGGATTTGTTGTTATTTATTTAATTATTTTGATATTCTTATAGTGATTTTTATCGATTAAATTTTAAAATCCTTTCATAGAGATGGTTTTTCAAGAGCTAGAGATGTGAAAATGCCTTTCACAAGATCGGACGATAAATATCGAAAGCAAATAATTTTAAAACACTTTTTTTCACATTTTAAAATAGACAAATTGCAAACATTAAACGAAATCCAGGCTATCAACGGAAACGGTGTCGAATAAATGTGGGTGGAGAATCCGGGCTCAAACGCTTTGCCTTGACAGCCATACCCCGCAACTCCTGAACTCCAAGGCCTGCAAGCAAAGTTATGTACTTATTTTACAGATACCAAATTTTTATCTACTCGCCATGAACCGTATGAGTTTCCTTCACTCCTCCCGGGTCCAATTGTGCGAAGAACAGCTCCAGATCGGCATGTTTTTGCACGGTGGCCACGCAGAGGGCCGGAATCAACGAGGACAGATTAAAGTCCTTATAAGATCGCCGGCGCAACAGCTCCTGAACCAGGGGCAAATGACCAGCATAGGTGGCCAGGGTCAGGGCGTTTTGGCCAAAGTAGTTGATGGCAAATATATTGCCTCCGAATTCGAGAAGGGTGCGGGCGCACTCGAGACGTCCGAGGTAGCAGGCCTTCAACAAGGCAGTGTTTCCATAGCTGTCCAACTGTTCCAGGTCGTGCTTGTCGCGAGCTAAGGTGCAGACAATGCGCAGGGAAACTACATCGTCCTGACCCACGCAGCTGAGAGCTAAAACGATAAGCGTGAAATTAACATTTTCGTATTAAATTATATTACCATTTATTTCAGTCATTTTCCAAAGCTCCCAAACATAACGGTGCAAGACGGAAACCAGGGCTACCATGCTATCGGTAATGCCAGCAATCACGGCGATGGGCAGCACTGGTTGTAAACAAATTTGAAAATTTCAAACTTTATTAAAAACAAACAGTTTCATTTTAAAAACTGGAAGTAACAACAACAAAAATTAAATTACACACCATTTTTAAAGTGATTTTTATTTAAATTTGCAGAATATTTAAAAACACTTACCGTGAAAGTAATCGATACATCGCCACTTTTGATTAATCGATAGTACCACAGATTTGCAGCTCTAAACGTCAGGGCCGCTTCCTGTTTCTTTCTTTCTGAGTATTTGTCTCATACAAACGGCAAAATGGTTCGTCGACGAATTTTCGGTGCATCGAACAACAAAAGCGTCGAAATGCAGCGCAAATGCATGCGCCAAGGCATGAAGTGCGCGATGGGGGGAATATGGGCGGGGTGCTTTGTTGCGAAAATGCAAAAAACCGATGCGAAAATTGTTTGTTTTGAAATGTACTAAATCTGTTGTATCTCTGTGCTTTGCAGTCGCTCGTCATCCCAGAGAAGTTCCAGCACATCCTGCGTATCATGAATACGAACATCGATGGCAAGCGCAAGGTCGGCATTGCCATGACCGCCATCAAGGGTGTGGGTCGTCGCTACTCCAACATTGTGCTGAAGAAGGCCGATGTCGATCTGACCAAGCGCGCCGGTGAGTGCACCGAGGAGGAGGTAAGTCGACGCTTTTGTAGGATCGCCCGCCCAGCACAGGCACTAATTCGGGAATTTCGCATTGCATTTTGCAGGTCGACAAGGTGGTGACCATCATCTCCAACCCCCTGCAGTACAAGGTGCCCAACTGGTTCCTCAACAGGCAGAAGGACATCATCGACGGCAAGTACTGGCAGCTGACCTCCTCCAACTTGGACTCTAAGCTGCGTGACGATCTGGAGCGCCTGAAGAAGATCCGCTCCCACCGCGGTCTGCGTCACTACTGGGGCCTGCGTGTCCGTGGCCAGCACACCAAGACCACCGGTCGTCGTGGTCGCACCGTCGGTGTGTCCAAGAAGAAGTAAGCTGCTGCAACGTTCCCTGCCGGATTGCCGACTCTACTTTAACTTTTACATCAACATCAAAAAAATAAAAGAAAACACGGAAACCGGAACGTTTTAGTGCGGAGTATATATATGTGAAGTTTGTTGTATTTAGATCTGTGCTCGTGCGTGCGTTATTCGAAATTTCTGTATAATATGTTGTCGGCAAAAGCATTCGGTGGTGGTCCGTCGTCGGCACGGACCCAGAGCAGCGCCTGTGTTCTATGGCTGATCATCTGCAAGACGGCCAAGTTCCAGCTGGCCAACACCCTGACCAGCGTGATCATCATAGCTGGTCCCATCCTTGTATTCTTCATCTACTCGGCCACGGCTGTCCTCCAAACGTCGCCCGAGGATCCGCCCAGAGATCCGACGGTCAATTTAACAGCCGATGTACCGTATGTATTATATGTTTCTGCCTGGGGCGAACAGCCCTGGATTGCCATACTAATCCAGGCCTTCTCCGTGACCCAAAAACGAAACAGAAGCATTTACTATTCGCCCAAGAATCGTATTGTCGACGAAATCATCGAGGATGTGGCCCGCGAGGTAAAGGCCATGGAAACCAAAGGCTTCACCTCAGCGGACAAATTGGAGAGCGCCCTCATTGAGCAGTCTGCCTTCGTGGGCATTGAGTTCGAAGACTCGTTTCACCAGATTACCTCAATGCCGGACAAGGTGTCGGTGGCCGTGCGCTACCCATCGCAACTACGCGCCACACCGAAGCTGCGCTGGGATGGAAGGATATACTACAAGAACATGTATCTGGGCACCGATTACTATCTGGCCGAGAGTTTCCTGATGGTTCAGGTCAAGCTGAGCGAGGCCTTGATTAGGGCAAAGAGAGAGAACGCAGTCCTGCCGGAAGTGCAACTGAAATACTTTCCCGAGGCCAAACGCATGGAGGGCACATTTAAAGAGTCGCGGGTGGCTCTGTGCGGGTTCCTCTTTTTGCCCTTTGCCATATCATCGGCATATCTGGCACAGGTGCATATATATATGTGGTACAGTGGCTGCAGAGTCTTTATTTTATGTTTTAGGTAATCATTGAGGACAAGCAGATGTGGGCCATGATGCGGGTGCGAGGATGGGTGCACTGGCTCTCTTGGTTCATTGTGGCCTTTCTCCTCTTCTTGGTGTCAACCATATTTCTGGTGGGCCTGCTGAAGTGGCGCTTCTATCGGATGAGCAACGTGTTCTTGGTCCTGGTCTTCTTCTGCGTTTACATTATGGAGCTGCTGTCCTCGGCCCTCATGATCGCCGCCATATTCTCGGACAGCATCGGTGTTCAGTTGACCATCCTGTTTCTCCACATGATTAGCTGGCTGCCCTGGCGGCTCATGGTCTTGGGTTACCAAGCCACCTCCAACCGTACCTATCTCGCGTGCCTGTTCCTAAACAGCGCGCTGGCCTTGGGCCTAGAGAAGTTCATTGAGCACGAGAACCTCTTCATGGGCATGCAGTGGAATATGGTATTCAAGAGGACCGATCCCAACAACACCATAAGTTTGGGCATCATAATGATTACCATGATGCTGGGCACGGTCCTGCGCATACTCATGCTTTGGTATGTGGAGGAACTGAAGGGTGCAAAGTCCAAAAAGTGGTACTTTCCATTTCAATCCTTGTTCTGCTCGCGGAAGGCTCGAAATAGGGTCAATGATGTGGAGCAGCAGGAATTTCAGGAGAACCAGGATCATGAGCCATTGTCTAACAGGAACCGTAACATCATGGTCCAGACCACCAATCTGGAGAAAACCTACAATGGCCACAAGGTTATCCGTAATATTAGCTTGAACTTCTATCAGGATGAAATCACCGTGTTTCTGGGTCACAATGATTCCGGAAAGACTACAACTTTTCGGATGCTGGCCGGGATTGAACAGCCCGACGCAGGTGACATTACCATCAATGGGTACGACCTGGCCACCCAGGAGCGCAAGGCGCTTCGATCGCTTAGTTTGTGTCCGCAGATGAACATGTTCTTCGACAAGCTGAAGGTCAGGTGGCACATCAAGTTCTATTGCCGGCTGCAGGGAATGAATCAGAAGGAGGCTTCTGCCGAGGCGGATAAATATCTGGAGATCGCTCACATGGAGGAGTTTGCCAGCAAGACGGTCAACGTTTTGTCCAACGGATTCAAGCGAATGTTGGCGCTATGCTGCACCCTGTGCGGCAACTCGATGGTTGTTCTCTTGGATGAGCCCGGCACCGGTATGGATCCGCTGATGCGTCGCGGAATGTGGGACCTGCTGCGAAAGGAACGAAAGGGACGCTGCATCATAATGTCCACCCACAACATGCTGGAGGCCGAGGTGGTGGCGGATCGAATCGTGATCATGTGCGGTGGCGAGGTGAACGGCTACGGTACCACCAGCTTTCTCACCCAGATCGCGGACTCGGGTGCTGCGTACATTCTGATCTGTACCAAAAAGGACACCTGCTTGGTGGCGGAGGTGACGCATTTTCTGCAAATCCGCTTTCCGGACATCGAGCTGGTTCAGGAGTACGGCATTTATGTGACCTACAGACTACCAGCCAAGGATGTGCGGCAATATTCGCAGTTGTTCCTCGAGTTGGAGGAGGCTATAGATAATCTAATGCTCAAGGAGTTTAGTGTGAGAGCCCCCACGCTGGGTGACCTCTTCCTGCGGATTGGTGTGGAGTTGAAGAGCACGCGGGACACTGTTGTCGAAATGGAAGGAGAAACGCGAGCCTTGCCCATGTGGTCGCTGATCGGTGAGTAGTTTTTGGGTTTTCCGAGTATCCTTAAGTCGTACCGTGGGCTCCCATAGATCTCCTGCCCAGCTTTGAGGTGCGGGAGGACAATGACCGCGTTAAATGCTGCAATCAGTGGCTGGCCATCATGGAACGTAAAATTATCTTTATGTGCCGACACCGGTGTCTCTTTCTCCTCATCATCCTGATGCCCATCTTCATCGCCTCGCTGCATATCATATTTGAGCTCTTCCAATTGTGGATAGACAAAACTACTCGAGAGATTAAAATCACCGACATATCCCATTCCACTGCGACCTTGGTGCTTGAGTCAAAGGAAGACGATGCCATATCAGAGTTTTATACGCGGAATGCTATGCTGCACGGCGTCAGTACTCAGAGCACAGAGGGCGTTCCCTTTGGTGACTATATCCTGGAACGCATAAAGAAGGATGAGATGAATTACTATCGAACAATTGCGGCAGGCGCTACAATCGATCAAGTTAACAGGTCCATTGTCGCCTGGGCGAATCAGAAGTTGGAGCACGGCTCCGCCCTGGCCTTGGGCCTGGTGTACGAGTCCCTGGCTTTGGCATTGGCACAGCTGAAAATCGAAATTGTGAACAAACCGCGCGAGAATACTATAAAAGAGGCAGTGCGGGCACTAAGCCTGACCACCTACATGGACTTCTCATTCACTGCGATGCTTTACCTCGTCGTCGTCACGGCCATATTCGCTGTGACGCTGGTGACGGAGCGACAGACGAGCCTGCAGCACCAACAGATAGCCAGCGGCATGAACCGGATCACCTACTGGTTGTCGCACCTGTTCTGGGACTACTGCCTATATATCACCATGATCCCCACGCTAATCATAATCGCAGCAATTGCTCAGGGCTCAATTGGTCCCATAACGGTCTTACTGCTCATCTTTGGCTTTTCGGTCATTTCGTTCACCTACATGTTTTGCCTTATCTCCAATGATTTGGGGAAGATGTTCAGCATAATGATGTACGTGAACATGATAGGTAAGATAATCCAGCGAGCGGACTTTAGCATTGCAAACATTCTCTTCATATGAATTATTTACAGGCGTCTTGTCCTTCTTTATTCATCCCCTACGATATCAAGACCGCTACAAAATCTTTGAAGACATACTCAGGGTTCACCCGCACTATGCGTTATTTAACGGCGTTCAAGATACCGTCTACAAAGAAGGCACTCTGACTGTCTACCATAGTTTGAAAATGACAGGATTCTCATTGAAGGAACAGAAAAGAGATAATTACAATATGGTGGAGATTAAGTACATGGTTATAAGCGGAATGGTGTATCTTATGATGGTCCTTATGTCGTGGATTCCACGTCGGCTCAATTACCTTTTCAAGTTGAGTTCCTATCAAACAAAAAAATTTGTAATCCCATTAACTTTATATCGTTATGCAGGTCGATTAAGAACGAAAAAATACAACCAGCCCTCGACGAAGAGGATGCAGAAGTGAACCTAATGCGACAGAGGTTGGAGATAATCACCACGAAGAACTACAAGAGCTATCCCCTTATCATGAAGAATGTGTCCAAACGCTATGGGGATGTTGTAGCAGTTCGCGCTCTAACGCTCAACATAAACCCGTAAGTAAAAAATTGACCATATATACTTTTTTGTATAGTACTCCATTCCACTTTGTTTCAGGTACGAGTGTGTCTGCTTGTTGGGTCGGAATGGTGCTGGAAAGTCCAGTACCTTCTACATGGTCATGGGCAAGAGATCACTTACCGCGGGCACTCTTCATATTAAGGGCTTCAGCATCAAGAAACGTTCCAAGCAGGGCCTAAAGCACGTGGGCTTCTGCCCGCACGAGGAAATGCTGACACCGTACATGACTGGCTGGGAAACTCTGCGTTTCTTTTGCCTGATCAACGGCATTCGGCAGAGTCACATCCCAATGGTGGTCAGGGCATTGGTCGAAAGCTTCAGTCTAGGCACGAACATGGACAAGCCGATCAGAACATATAGCAATGGCACCAAGCGGAAGCTGATGATAGCTGTGGCCGCTCTGGCGCCGACGCTGCTTTGCCTAGATGAGCCCACCGCCGGAGTGGACATGTATGCCAAGTACGAAATCTGGGACATTTTGGACAGCATGCGGCAAGGGGGTCGTGCCATTTTGCTAACCACGCACAGCATGGAGGAGTGCGAGATACTGGGCTCCACTTTGGGAATCCTGGACCGTGGAACGCTTCTCTGCTACGGAAACTTGGCCCGCCTTAGGTCCCGCTTCGACAAGGGGATCTTTGTTAGAATTAAGGTGGGCACTAGGACGGAACTCAATATATTGAGGGAGGAGGGTCTTCGATTTGCCAATAGGTACAACAACTCTCGAACAACTCTTGGCTCCCTGAAGTTATCTATTCATACAGTCTCTATGCATGATTATGAAATGCACACGGATCACTCGACGAGCTCTGAAGCGGACATTCGTGATGATTACGAGGGTCTGTTGAAGGTCGTGGAGGAGTGGTTCTTGGAGGACCATCCATACAGTGTCGTAACGTACGTAGATGAATGAACTTTAACTTTGATTTCTACTTTTCAAAGATGATAATTCTTATATGCATATCTCTCAATATAGTCAAAATTATTGAAATATTTGATACATATATTCAAATATTATAGTTCTCCTTTTGCTCCTTAACTCCTAACTTTGCCTGCAATGTACAAACAAAGCAGGAGCAACAAAGTTTTCACTAAGAGAAAGATAGAGTGAGATATTTTAAAATTAAAACAAAAATGAATTAATAGTTCAAAAAACCTTCACGGCTCTCCTTTTGTAATTTATATGTATTATTTTTCATTTCCACAGTGAAAAGTTCTCCTTTCGAGGAATGATTACCTTTGTCATACCCAAGGAAAATATACGATGGTCGAAAATTTTTGGCTATATGGAAGGAGTCAAAAATCAGCTGCAGATAATGCACTATTCAATCAGCCATACAACGCTCGAGGACGTGTTCTCGGACTTCGTGAGGGAGCACAATAAATAGGGCATAAATGAATCACAGTGCCAGAGAGCCCTCTCTTATCGTTCAACTATATATAGTTACTAACTAGATGGATTTGGATGGCTATCTATGAAAGCTTCTGCCGTGAAATGCTAACGAATTGATTAATTTATCGCTTGGCGTTGCGGAATTGCCAGAGAAATGAGAGTAAATAAACCAAGCCGACTAATGCCGACTCATCATGATCAACAACAACAACCGGTATTGAGAGATTTGGACATTTTTGGACCCTAATTAATACATATGTATTTTGTATTGTATGTTTACAAAATTTTGTAAGTGGAGAGGAGAACAGACTTGTAATGCTATATATAAATATTAAAGCATATTAGAAAGGGCAACCCAAAGTCGCCTAAACTCGATTCAACTATGTTTTCTTTGGGCTCTTCTTTCGCCAGAACGTTAGCCGAAATAAATGTGTGTCATCCGAGTCCATTGGTACTTTGAACCCCTCCACGATCAGAGAAAACTTTCCACAGAAATGTGTGTGTAGACAAGTTTCATTAACGATGATGGCCTGATGTTACTACATATTTCAATTGGCGTTTGTTTACAGCCAAATCGATTCCGAACAGTGACCTATAGCTTTTTCAATTTTAAGCAATTTGCCGTCTCCAATTAGACTTTGTGCCCGCATGGCGTAATAGTCAAGTGGGGGAAAGGTAAAACGCACAAGAGTTATGGCATTCGTTCCAAAATAGATTCCTCATCGAGGGAGAGGCTCGCACAACCTTGGCTGATAGCGTACGAATTTGCTTATCGGTGGACAGAGGAAGTTCTCGGCTCTAATCGTGATTTCTAGGTAGCCAAAGCACAGCTCTTATTTCAGCTTTACGCTTTCATGGAAATTGTATAATTAAAGCTTTGTACAACAGTTGTTTTATACAAACACATGTAAATTTTACTGCTTATAGTTATTATTGTTCAATAGTTGATTGCAACACACAGCACAACGTATATATATAGTAACATACAATATCTATAGTATATAGATGAATTCACAATGTAGCGCAGTGCAACTATTAATAGGAGTTCCCACTGTAGTTTATATTTAAAGCCTCCTCCTGACCTCGAGAACTGTGTATTATGTGAAATGAAAAATGCTAAAATATCATGTAACTTATTATAAAAATGTTTAATAAAATTAAAAATAAAAGTGTTGTGTTTATAAATCTAAGCTATTCAGTTACAGAATTCTATAATATGTGTTTGTGTGTCTGGCATTGTGGCTGTCAATGCTTCCTTTTCCTAAATAATTTATTGTCTGAGTGGGAAAACCCCAAATTCTCATCAAATACATGTATAACATTCAATTTGTCTATGCCTACGAGGTATGCTTAATGATTTTCTTGTGAACTTGTAATAATTATCGTTGCCTTTATAAATATGGAAGACTCTCTTTTGGTCGATTCTGACCAGCTTCGTTCACACAGGTATACAAAAAGGTCACATTGTTATGCACTTTTAGGTACGACATCCGTAACAAGCAGAACGCCTCCTGGAAATTCTTTGCTCTTCATAAATATATCTACTAATTCTAGATCTAAAATTTCAAGGAACTTCTAATTCTACTGCTGCGTAAGTTTGGTTAGCGCTTCATCCTGAGTTGTTGTTAGGTGGTTTTGCCTCTCCGCCTGCCGCCGCCAGCGACGCGACAGAATAGGTGCAAAGAGGTCGTAGTCCAGCTGCTTCTGATACTTGTCCAAGTAGATTTCCGAGTTCTCAGCCCATCCAAAGTGCGCCAGCGCAATGCTGCTCACATAGCCGACGAGCACAGCCACGATAAAGCCGATCACACAGCTCCACATATAGGAGAGGCGATACAGCCAGAAGTAGTGAGGTTCGATGACCACCGGGCTGCTGTTTGCACTCAGCTGGAGGGCTTGGGCAGCCAGAGCCGTGGCATTTTCACAGCCCGCCATGCTAAAGCTCAGGGGTATGGGACTGGGCTTGGGTCCACCGAAACCTATCCAGAAGGAGATGATTAGGGACACCAGGAAGCCCAGAAGAGCGCCCCGCTGGTTTGTGCGCGTCGTGCAAACACCCAGGCTGAAGAGGGCCAGCAGTGGGCCGCCCACAACTCCGAAGATGGTGAGCGAGGCCTGCAGGACGCCGCCCAGGGATCCAGCTCCAAAGGCCAATCCAATGCAGAGCAGGCCAAAAAAGAAGGCCATCACCTTGGTGGGCAGCGTCGACTGGGAGTCAACGAGCGTTCGCTTGAATATCGCCTTGTACATTGGCTTCAGATAATCCTCCAGCGTCACGGCCGAGAGAGAGGTGACTGCCGATGAAATCGTCGACAGACTGGCGGAGAAAATGCCGGACACAAACAGACCGCACAGGCCGGGGTATTGACCTGCAGGGAGAACCGGCACTTAGCATATGATAAACAAACCAGACCCCGCCACACTCACCCATCGTGTCCACAGCAAACAGCGGCATTAGCTGGTCGCGCGACTTGATGCGCCCCTCCAGCAGGGGATCACAGTCTCTATAATAGTAGAAAATAGCCAGGCCGCTGAAGATGGTGCTAAAGCTCAAGAGTCCCAGGATGGGCAGATTCCACCACAGAGCCGACTGGGCGCTCTTCAGATTGCGCACACTAAGCAGTCGCTGGATCTGGGTCTGGTTGACTCCGTACAGGGACAGATAGGTGACCATGCCGCCAATGATGAGCGACCACCAGGTGTGCCTCACTGTGGGATCCACCGAAAAGTCGTCGAACTCCACTCGTCCACGCTCTACGGCCACCTCCCAGATGGCGGCAAAACCTCCGGCCTTAATCGCCGACACTGCTATCACCGCGTATATGGCGGCGAACATGAGGAACGATTGAAACACATCCGTGATGAGGACCGCCTTCAAGCCGCCCAGGGTGGAGTAGAAAGTGCACACCAGTCCTATAACCAGAATGGCTGCCGTCCTTGGTATCCCAGTCACAGCCTCCAGCGCCAGAGCCGGGGCATATAGGGCAATGCCCATGTAGAGTATCATTTGGATGGTGAAGGCCAGCGAGGCGGACAGCCGCGTGGCCTGGCCAAAGCGCCGCTCCAGGTACTCGTAAACACTGGTGGTTCGCATTCGATAGAACACCGGCAGGAAGATGTAGGCGGCGATGGGTGTGCTTATCCAATACGCAATGTTTATCACACAGAACATGGTGCCGAACTGGTACGACTCGTTGGAGACTCCCATCAGCGAGATGGCGGACATGAAGCTGGCCATCAGGCTGAAGGACACCGGAAAGGTGGTCATGCTCTGGTTGGCCATCAGGTACTCCTGCGTTGTCTTCTGCTTGCCGCCCGTGTAGCGGTAGTAGATGCCAATCAGCGCTGAGATCACCAGGATGCTAATCAGGACGGCCGCATCCCAGGCGTCGAACGTTCCCACGGGCATGATTCCGGCTTATCGCTGGTGGTCACCAGAGGTGAACTGCCTGAGCGCCCGCCTGAATTGATTTTTCCACGGCAGGAGCAGCAACAACTCACTGTGACTCGCCGCTTGCTCACGCGAATGAATGACCTTTCCTTTCACAGTCAACGCTTTCCAAAGTGCGGGCCAGTGGCCAGCTGAGAGCGGTAGCGACAGCGCGAAATCACAGCGAAGATAAAACACAAAACACAAACGTTCTCGCGAAAGCTTCGGCCGTTAAATAACTTTAATAGCGATAACAAACACAGCTGTTGCCTAGGGTTGTTACGCGATATTTTTATTTGATATTTTTTGATATTTTTCCTTTGGTCACTCTGAATTTCAAAGCAAAATGTTAAGGTCTGGCAGCACCGGTGTGATGTGGTGGCGGTTTTTTTGAATAGTCAACATTTAAAGTTTTCTTCAAAGAAGTAAACAAATGCATTTTAATACGAATTTTAATATGTATAAATTCGTGATAAAGTCTTGATTTTATAAAGAAAATAAATATGTAGTAAATAAATAATATATTAATATATTTTTTAAATATATTGTAGCAAACTATTATAATATATATATTATAAAATAAATTAAAATATAAAATAAATTAAAAATTTAAGAGGTATATTTAATTTGTAACAGATTTGTAATGAGTGTCGTTCAGTCTTTTTACATGTTCACTGTACCTAATTCAACCCCATGACGAGCACCGAAAAGCTGAAACAAAAACACATTTAATGAGCCTACTTCAACAATAATAGATTAAAACATAGTGTTCGGTGGCTCAAAGGTTAGGGCATCCGCACAAGGCTTCTGGGTGCGGGTATCTCTAAGCTCTCTTACTCGATTTTTTTCAATGGATTTTGTAATACATCACATAAATGTACTACATACTATGGTAAATGCCCCTTTAAGAAATGTTGGGGGCTACGCCCCTGCATTTGCTTGGCTTCCCGCAGCTACATTAAACAACCACAGATAGCATTTACTTGCCCATCCGACATAATCTTTGGGTTAGAAATTTCACCAGCCAGTTGGCTGGCTTCAATCTCACTTCATTTCGCTGGCGGCACTCTGAAAGAACGGACATGAGCCAAGGAGCCATCTTAACGGACGTTAACGGTCGCCAGGAGGCTGGAGATGAGCGAAGGAGGCGCAGGGTGGCTGTTGTAGGAGCAGGATTGGTAAGTCTTAGTTTCAATATTTGTATTTCTAAAAACATCTCAACTACAATACCCATTCTTGGTTTATTGTTAATTGTTCTTTTTGAGACTGCATAAATATGTGCTCTTATCTAGATGCTCTTTATCTTTAGGATTCCCTAATCCCCCTACTTCTCTGATAAAACTCTCTTATCGAGCTAAGAATTTCACTTTCTTCTCCTTTTATCTCTTTTTTTTCGGGTAGGTGGGCTCTTTGGCGGCCTTAAACTTTGCCCGCATGGGTAACCACGTGGATTTGTATGAGTACCGCGAGGATATCCGACATGCATTGGTGGTCCAGGGCAGGAGCATCAACCTGGCACTGTCCCAGCGAGGTCGCCGGGCTCTGGCAGCCGTGGGTCTGGAAGAGAAGGTCCTAGCCACCGCCATACCCATGAGAGGCCGCATGCTGCATAATATCAAGGGCATGACCAGCGTGGTCCTATATGATCCTTGCAACAATCAGTGCCTGTACTCTGTGGGTCGCCGGCAGCTGAACGAGGTCCTTTTGGACGCCTGCGATAAGTTCCCAAATATCCAGTGTCACTTTGAGCACAAGCTAACGGCAGCCAATCTCCGAGAGGGTTCCATGGAGTTCCGGAATCCCAAGGAGGAGGTTATATCCGCCGGTGCAGATCTGATTGTGGGCTGTGATGGCGCCTTCAGTAGTGTGCGGCAGCAATTGGTCCGCTTGCCGGGTTTTAATTACTCCCAGGAGTACATCGAAACCGGTTATCTGGAGCTGTGTATTCCCTCCAAATTGGGTGACTTCCAGATGCCAGCCAATTATCTACACATTTGGCCACGTGATTCCTTTATGATGATTGCACTGCCCAATCAGGACAAGTCCTTCACGGTCACCCTTTCCATGCCCTTTGAGGTGTTTGCTAAAATTCAGAGCAAGGAGCAACTTTTGGAATTCTTTAGGACGAACTTCCGGGATGCCCTGCCACTCATTGGAGAGGAGCAGCTCATTAAGGACTTCTTTAAGACACGACCACAGCATTTGGTGTCCATCAAGTGCCGGCCCTATCACTATGCGGACAAGGCTCTGATCCTAGGAGATGCCGCTCATGCCATGGTTCCATACTATGGCCAGGGTATGAATGCTGGAATGGAGGATGTTACACTGCTCACCGGAATTTTGGACAAGCAGCTGCCTCTGGACAAGGCTCTGGCTCAGTTCACCGAGTCTCGCTGGCAGGATGCCTTTGCTATTTGTGATCTGGCGATGTACAACTATGTAGAGGTGGGTATTACTAAAAAAACAACAACATGAAATAAAATAAAGATTCATTTTTCTCCTTTCTTGCTGCAGATGCGTGACTTGACCAAACGCTGGTCCTTCCGGCTCCGAAAGTGGTTGGATACGTTGCTCTTCCGCATATTCCCCGGCTGGATACCGCTATACAACAGTGTGTCCTTCTCCAGTATGCCTTATAGCCAGTGCATTGCCAACAGGAAGTGGCAGGATCAGCTGCTAAAGCGTGTTTCTGGCGCCACTTTAATCGGCGTGATCCTGGCCGCAGGAGCTATATATGCAAAGCGTTTTATTTAAGGCGGAAATCAGGCAATTAATTTAAAAAGTTTGTTGTAATTTTCAAACAAATGTGAAGATTAAATATTTGCCCGCAAGAGTATGCTCTAAAAATCAGCAAAGATATTTTAGTTGAGAGTTTTGCGAGCTTTCAAACTACCAGTAAAGACAATGAACATCTTGATAAAATGTATAACTATTTTAATAATTTTGTAATAAAGCTACATATGCCATATATACTTATATTAATTTTATTTTTAATTAATTTAAAAAGCTGTAAAAATTTTGATCTATTAGATATTAGATCTATTATATACAGGATCTGTACTTACAGAATTTCTAAATACAGCAAAAGAGTTTGGTTTATTAAAAAATAAAATAAAGCAAACCAAGTTAGTTAGCTCTCTCAATATAACATTCAAATTTACAGTAAATCGTTTACTTAATCTTTAAAATAGTCATAGTTATAGAAATAAAACCAAACTTTCGTTGGCATTTAAAAATATTTCCCACAGCAGGAAAGCTTTCCTACGAGTTGAGGAGGTTTTTCTCTTGTGAATGGAAATGTTTTTGAATGGAAACATATAGTACTTTATGAATCATATGACGAATACATCAAAATGTAAATGTGTTGAATTTTAGCCGATTTTAATTTGCAATAAAATGCATTATTATTATTATTAGTTGCAAAATGAAGCGAGAGCAGTAAAGATAACACATTTAAGGCAGTTGGTGAAACCCGGGGCCAAGGAAACCCATTTGATAAACTTTTGTTTACTGTGGATTCACGCAGGTCTTATAAATAAAAGCAACACACACTTGCCCGATTTTGCTTGGCAAAATAATTGAAATTTCTTTTTGGCCGCGTGGCGGCTACTACGCATCGCATTTTGGTCTATGTCTATGTCTACGGGACCATCAACTGGTGGATGTGAATGTGGATATTTTTGGGTTTGTTTTGTCGCTTCGCTATTGGGGCGGCGACAGCCAAAAATACCGTCGTTGTACCGCCCCACACACAACGGTGTGATTTTTAGCCATTCGAACGTTTATTTCTAGCCGCAGTTTTGCAGCCTTGGTCACGTGATCGTGATCTCGCTGCATTCCCATCAACATCCGGCAGTTGCACTTGTCCTTTAAGGATCACCAGAGGAGATCCTCTTGAAGAGGAAAAGTTTAAAATGTATTTCTATATCGCTGTTAATACTGGCACCTTAGGATATTAAAATTGGCTAAAAGTTTGAAATTCAGTTGAATTTAAAACTGATGAAATAAGGTTAATTGTTTGATCAGAATATAAAACTCGATATATTCGGTATCATATGAAAAATCATAATATATCATCAATATATCAAATTTGATTTATTCGATCTCTTTGCATCATCTATTCCCCTGACTAATGCCTATATAATTCATATTCATAAATGGTCATAACACGTCGATCGCTGGTTTTTACCGAGGAGCTTTCTAGACAGAGAAGGCGTGAAAGCTTTCGATTAATTAGCATGCCATTTGGTTGCCACCCCAACCCTCTCACTTTCGCCCGCTCCCACCCACTCCCCACCTTTCCCTTGGTGAGTGGCAGAGAGAGAGAGAGCGCGCAAGGTCGGCGCTTTCTCAGTTGCCGGCCGGTATTTTATTACAACAACATTTACACCATTGGGATCGCAAAAAAGCTTGGTGTGCAGCTTTTTCCTATCCCTCTCTCATCATCTCTTTGAAGCGCAGATAAATCAGCCAAAAAACTAGGCTTAAAAGTGAAAACCTTAAGCTAAACAATGGCTTCAAGCCATTTCTTGACCTACTACCCAAAAGCGAAGAAGCACTCGAGCGAAGCTTTTGACCACCAGAAAGAGCTGGGGAAAGGGAAACGGAAAAGGAGGAGAGTAGAGAGACGCAGATAATGAGCGGCAGAGTGAGATTGAGAATGAGCGTGGAGCTTCGGTGCTTTGCTCATTTCCGACTTAATTGTTGTTGCTAATTCCGTTTCGCAAACTTTTCGTTTGGTACTCTCTAGAATCGTCGGCGCCGCTGCTCTGCTCCCACTAATTACAGTGTAACCTTTAGAAGGAGAACCGCAAAGCGATATCTTAAGTAGGTTTAAGTACAATGTACATACATAAAAGAATTAAAAAGTTAGTAACATCTTTCATGTGTGCATTAAATTTTGTATGACAATCGTTCAAAGGGTCACCTGGGCGAAGCTTCACTGTGGCGATTACGGCGGCCGTCGCTTGGCGCTCGTCTTCTGCTTGGCTCTTCGCGCTGTCGTTCCGCTGTGCCAACGCCGCCAGTTAGTTGCTCGTCACATGTTCGACACTCAAGTAGCCAAGAGCCCAGGGAATAGGAATATAGGAATAGCCGAGCGCCAACCGAAGACCGATCGAGTGTGGAGCAGCCACCGTTAGACAGTAAAAACATAGCATCTGTGACAGTGACAGTAACTCCTCCCAACTGAGAGCCAGGTGCGCAAGCAAGTGCAGCTATAATCAAATCAGAAATCAAGCAATCGCCTTGCCTCCAATCAGAAACCCATCGAGTACGATCGCCACATTTCTCGAAGCTTTTCGGCAAGCTTCCGCTAACAGAAACGCGTGGTCCGAAAAACGAAAAATAACGAAAATCAAACAAGGCAAGCGAAAAAGTGAAATTGAAATTCGAATTCAAAGTCAAAATCAAATCAAAAAAAAGTTGGGAGTTAAGTGAGCGCCAATATCGCGTGTGCATCTGTGTGAGTGATCGTTTCTCAGTGTGTGTATATGTGTGTCCGTGCAGTGCAACGGTATTCAAAACCCCACCAACCAAAAAAAATAAAGAAGCCGCAGGAAAAACGGTAAAAAGAACAACTCAGGCGTTAGTTGTCAGTAAAATTTGAAAATAGACTTACGGTTTGGTTTCTACGTTACCGTAGCAATCCTAAACCAGAATCGAAACCGAGTACCGGATACCGATCGCCATCCTGGCCAGCCGTACGCTTTTCGTGTGAGGCGCCAGCGGTTCCAAGGAACGGTGAATTCCACCCACACCCTGCTGCCCGTCGTCGATAGCATACCGATACCGATACCATAACCGATGTCGACTGCCCAGTGCTCTTTATAACTCTTTGTTTTGCCTGCTCTCTGATCAGAAAAGCCCCACCACAGAGAGATTGCATTCGATACGATAGGATTCGGTTCGGTTCTAGTATATCCCAATAGAACAGTAGCAAGTACGTGTGCTCTGCACTGAGAGAAACAGAAGAGACGCTTACTGCTTGGAGTTTTTGGGGGCACGAGCTGTCCGAATTGTTCAGGTAAATATATAAACGCGCACAATCGCCGGTATTGATCTCGCTCAATTAGTGGGGCTACGTGACTGCACCACAGTTGTGTGCCGGGTGTTCGGTGTTCTGTATTTCTGAGATCGCATCGTGTCGCATGGTTTTGTATTCTGCCTCCTAAATGAAAAGCAAACCAGAAATGCGGATAACGATCTAGACACACACACACACCTCCCCCTTTCGACCGATCCCGCTGCCCACTTTCGCGGTTAGTCTTGGCATCTGGCATTTCCGGTTTCGCTATTTTTTGGCGGTGTACAAAGATACATATGTATGTATGTACATATGTATGTGAAAACACCTTCATATCAGATTTTATTCAACCCAAAAACCTTCTCATTATTTTGTTTCCTTACATTTTTTTTTATTGAACTTCTTTTGTAAAATAGGCTTTTAAATTATAAAAGCATTGTTTAGAAATCGAACTTTTTTTAACTAAATACATAAATGTCATTAAATATTTATGACATCAATAATACTTCATAAAAAATATGTATTATTTTTTTGTCCATAATGAAATAGATCGATTCTCAGAAAAGGAATAGTTAAAGTCCGTAACCTATTATGAACTTTGTTGAATTTATGTATTTTTTCAATATTTCTTTTTAAATTTCGATCATATAAGGATTATTAAATTTTAAAAATTTGATAAAGTTGATGGAGACATTCTCTAAATCATTCAGTTATACATACTTAGGAGGTTTTGTATTTTGTGTCCCAAAAAGTGCAATAATAAAGCAATTTAACGCACGCGGGAATACCCAAATAATTTTAGCTCAAAAGTGATGTGCTCGCTCGTTAGGCTAATAATTACCATCCATCATGTTTCGGTTCAAGATCGGTTACTGTTCGACAATTCTGGATAAGTAATTAACTCATTTAACGAGTGGCGGGGGGAATCTGTTTAAAATTTCTCCCATATTCCCCTCAGCAATTGAGTCACTGAGTTACGGGAAAGTAGATATCAGATCATTAACAGTATCGAAATTGTTTTATTTATTAAGGAACCTGTCGTTTGTGTTTGTTTGACATATGTGTTCTTACATACATATTGACATACATATGTACATTTGTACATCAAATGCAGTAAGTCGTGTGCGGCAATAAAATAGCTTTTATGGGCGAATTAGCAAAGACACTTTTACGAGACCTCAGCAAGTATATTGATCTTGTGATCAGCTTACTCTTCGCACAGACACACACGGCGACAGACAAACAGTAGCGGTGAAAAATAAAATAAAACATTCCCATACGAAACTTACATCATCGGGCTGGTGATAGAAAGAGAGAACGCGCCCGCCAAATGGCAAGCATTTACATACTAGCACAAACACATACATACTATACGTACATCCAAACACCCACACACAGGCATAGATATAAATGTTGTTTTTTTTTCGGCGTTCTTGTTTTTGTTTTCTCGGTTGGACGCAACAAATAAGTAATATAAATTGCGCGTTTGGAAATGGGGAATTTCATGTTGTGCTCCTTCAGGAAATCACAGCAGTTAATCAAAGAAAAAAGTGCAAACAAAAAGGTGATAAAAACTAAGCAATCGTTACTTAGAGAGAGAGAGGGAGTGCACATTCACACATACAGAGAAAGAGTGATACAATCGAATAGAATGTGCGTTCATAAAAGGCAAAAGAAATGTTTTAAATGATTTGCTGGCTTTATAAAAATAAATCAACAGTTTAGAACACATAAACAAAACCCTCCACGAGTGCCGAAAACAATTGAGCAAAGGCGAATACATAACCAATAACTAATTCGGTGTTCTTTTCCCATTTCTCTTTACATGTTCTTCTCGTCTACTTCGTCTTTCTCTTCCTGAACGATGCTGCTCTGCTCTTGCGGTAAATGTCATCAAAAAAAGGATAACAACAGCGAAGAGAATAGCAAGTTCACCAAAAAGACGCAATTAAAAAAGTGTTAGCAAGTGTATAAGAAAAAAAAATACAACGAGCCGAAACAACATTAATGAATTTCGTGATTAAAAACATTTGAAAAGGTACAACAAAAGCTCATTTAATATAAAAATAAGAAGAACGCAAACAGCAAGCGAAATATACAAAATATAAAATCGCGGCGCCAACAACAAAACGTGGCACAAACGAAATACAAAAAAAAGCTCCTCCAACGAAAACGAGAGCGAATGCGCGCGCGCGAGTGAGATAGAAAAAAGCAGAGCAAAGCAAACGAAAGCAACGCTGAGCAGCAGAGCGATTGAGTGAGAGACAACAACAAAACAAAACCGCAAGCAGAAGCCGAAAGCCAATTGCGCACGGAACGTAGAACGGAGAAAACTAACGGAACTCTAAGCAAAGCAGCAGGACGGATAACGGTTAACCAGGGTGAAGCAGCGCACAAAGAGACAATGGTAAACAAGGTGAGTGGCAAGAAGGCGGACAAGGACAAGGAGCGGCAGCAGCGAGAGACGGCAATGTTGCCGGCGGCGGGCAACAACAGCAGTAACAACACGAGCAACACCACAAACATTAGCAACACAATCAACGTCAGCAATCCTAGCAACATAAGCAGCAATGTCAGCAACAAAACCAATAATAAGACTAACAAAAAAGGCTCGAATGCCAAGACCAAGAATGCAGGCAAAGGACAACCACAACAGCAGCAGCAACAGCGCAGCAGCAAAAAAGCGAAGCCGCAGCGGCAACAGATCTTTCTACAATCTTTGCCACGCGACAGCAGCAACTACAGGAGCAACAGCAACAATAAAAATGTCAACAAAAGTGGCAGCAACACAAGCTGCAACAACAGTGGCATCACAACGGACACACCGGCCACCCCGGACCTCGCAGCGGCCAAGATTAATCCCGCCGAGCTGCTGACCGCGGCTCTGGCCGTGCCCTGTGCCAAATGCTCCAAGCCATCGATGATCTCCAGTTTGACCACCGCCGTGACCGCCACCTCATCCTCCACCTCCGCCTCCTCCTCTGTTTCTTCTTCATCGGTGTCCACCGTCTCGTCCAGTTCGGGATCTGAGACCGCCAGCAATTACAGCGATCTCAATTATCCGGAACCAACTGTCTACTCTGGCAAGCAGTATCGCAAGTCCAAGTCCTATATGGGCGTGTCCCAGTACAACGGCTCCGTCAATGCGTATCAGTCGGGATCGGGATCAAGTCGCGGGCCCAGCACCGGGGGCAACCACGTCGCCTACAGACGCTCCCACAGCGATCGGCGGAATTCGTTCGACCGCAGCTTTGCCGAAAGAAATCGCGACTTTGTGCCCATTGTGCCGCCATCGCGTCCGGTCTTGTCGTCGTCCAACATAGCCGGAGTCATGGCCAGTGCCACCAAGCTGACGATTATAGAGCGGTTCGGCAAAGGACGTGTCGCATATCCCATAATGCAGGTGAGTCTGATGCATTCTTTGACCTAATTAAGCCTAGGTTAATTTTTATCTAGAATCGACAGATTCTGATTTCTGATTTTCGTTCTAAATTTAAATTTATACAAGACCTTACAACGAGATTACAGCTTTGTAATGATAATTGGTTTGTAAAGTCAAATATCAATCATTCATCTTAATTATATGCTCCTTTTCGGCTTTTATTTTAATAACATTATTATTTTTTCTATTAAAATATATGTTTTCAAAATCAATAAATAGAAATGAAAAAATCTTTATAATGGAATGAAAGATCATTGAGGCCATTCCGTCTCCTCCGTAATCTAATATTGTGCAATATTATGCAATTGATTGAACCTTTTATACTTATAAAGGGCAAATATAGTATACCATTATATAATATGTATTTCCTTTTTTTATTCACGCTTTAAATGAAGTAAAAATGCCATGAAATCAACTCAAGATAAGGGCTCAAGTTGACTGTTTTCTTTCACAGTTTCAGAAAAATATTTATCTGGTTCCTAAATTGTTTGCTTTTTGATCTGAAGAAATTTACGTATTTTTGTGTTTTAGGGAATAAGATTGTTTCAAGACAAAGTATGTTACTTTGGAATTTCTAATTATGACTTAATCGTATTTAATATTAATTTTTAACAGTTTTTCCGAAACTTATATTTTTAATACTACAGTAACGAGCTGATCTTAAGTTAATATTTTGTACAAATTGATATTTAGGTTGGCATTTGATCTTTTTTCTGTTAAAAATTGTGAGCTTTCTCCGAGACTAATTGTAAATCAAATGTCAAGGCCTTGCATAAGCAGTTGTAATTTCATTGATGTAAATAGGGGGAAAAACCGTAAACGCAGTATTTATTTTATTCCGAATTGGGGAAGCTTTCGTAACTTTCCATTAGTTGGACTGTTGCCACAGTCGGAGAAGTTGGCGCTCTAATCAGCTTCAGCAGCTACCGAAGGAAGCAGCCATAATTAATGGCACACAAACAAGAACAGGTGATAAGAGCCAGAAAGGCGAGAAAGCGAGTGAGTGCTGCTTACTCATCTATATATTTTTGATAAGCTGATTTCATATCGGGAGTCGCAGAGTGGAGTGTAGAAACTTCTTGCAACTCTCAAAACGAAAATAAACACAAGAATTTTGTTCTTTGCACTGATTTGAAGGTTTTTTGTTTTCATATTTTTGTTCCTTTTTGCAATTTGTTATCTCTTCCATTTTGTATATGTATACATATGTGTATGTAGTCTTTTTGTTTGTTATTTACGGTTATGCACTTGGGGCGGTATATTACGTATACGCCCTGGCTGACAGCAAGCAATTTGTCGCCGATTTTGTGCAATCGAGAAACAAATGCGATGCTAATATACGGAAATACTGTCTGCTCGCCTTGAATCTCCGTCACTCTTAATAGCTGCTTATGTATATTCTGGCCTCAACAACAATACCTTCTGGTAACCAAATATCGCTGGCCCGACCAGAAGTTCGAATCTACTAAAGTATCTTATGCAAATTCCTCGCTGACGTCGGGGCTTGGTTTTGTCATTTTTGATTTGGTTTTTTATTGTGGAAAAATATCAACCGAAAGTGGTTTGATTAGCATGTGCTGCGGCACTTAGTTAGTTAGTTACCAAAACTAGTTCTAAACGAACCGAACAAAACTCTAAACCGAAATCAGGAAAAAACAAGGCAGATTGATGCGAAAAGTGAAACTTGTTTGGGTCTTGGAATACCATACATATGGTAGATATATGTATGTATTTCCTAAAAGCTGTGTTGCCTAGGGCTAATTTAGAAAGCACAACAGCCCCAAATAAAAATATAGACAAAGCCTGCCATTTACAAGATCTAAGCCAGACATACAGCTAGCCATCGAGTCTCTCAATTACCCGGCACTTCTTGGCCAAGTTTCCGCTGTCTTGGGCTGATGGCACAACTGTATCAACAATTTGCTTAGCCTTAGCATTGCCTTTGCTGGCCTTCAAAATAGTAAAAACAGAAACTAGACAAAAACATTGAAAATGTTCTGAAAAACAATCCCAACACACATTTTTTCAAATGAATCACTAGAATTAGATCTCTCTCTCCGCCCGCTCATTCGAGAGCTCTCGTTGATGATGATGACGATGATGTTTACTCTCTTCTGGGCCCAAAGACACACATTAATTCTCGCCGCCCCACGTGAATTCTGATGCTGACGCACAGTGGGCCAAGTTCTATAAAACGGGCCTGGTGAAATTGTTTTGGCCTGGAAACAAATCTCTCCACACGTGGCAAACACTTTGGCAACGGAAATGAGCAGCTTGATAAGATAGTGTCTCTGGTGGAACTTGTCATCGGCAAAGCTCTCTATTTGGCATATATGCATATCTCTACAAGAGGTAGAACCGCTGCGCTCCTTCACAGAAATAGTTAATAAATTGATATATTTAATTATAACTACATTTATAATCATTATCAAAAATAAACACCATGTTGAAGGGTTAAGAATTAAATTTAGTAGGAATTGAATTGAATTCAGTGGTTATAATTAAATTGCATTCTAAGGAATACATTTCCATTACTTTAAACTCCTAAATGTGTCTAGATTTCAAGATGAATATCAAAAAATTAGCTAAGTTAAGATGATAAAGCTATATACAATAGCAATTAAAACCAAGAGATATCGCATAAGATCAAGACAAGTTATCGCAGGAAGTTGAAAATTATATAAATACCGAAAGCTATCAAAGATTATATTATAAACGTTTTCTCTTAATGAATGTATTGCATTTTATATTATCGTAATACTGGAATATAAAAACGTATGTAAATCTATTTGTTCTTATATATTAATGAAACGTATATTAAGTCAGCTCATGCCACACACATGTGCTTCCGTGCGGGGGATTTCCAGAGCTGATTTGAATCTCGTCAAAGATTTTGCAAACATTCTCTAAGGCTTATCAGTCAGAACGAATGGGCAAACACACATCGGTTTATATATTTATATTGGAATACAGCAACTCTTCTGCTTACGTCAAGCCTCACTTGATTCTATATGTGCATTTGCGAATGTGCTATATATGGACAGGTGAAAATGTAAACAAAGAACCATTTGAGTTACGAACTTTCTATTGCCAGCGAAGGCAGCTGAGACAACTCCTTTCTCTTGCCCGGACAGGCAGCTTTTCCAGTTGATTTTGTATTATTATGATTATCATGAACAGATAGATATATCGCATATAATATATTAAAATATGCATCAGAATTTATATAGCGTGCAAAAAGCTTTTTTTTATTTTTTGTTCTCCTAATTGTTATATTTCTGTATTATTATTTGAGCCAGTAAATATTACGCTACCAAATTGCATATTGTTTTTCTAAAATTGCCACAGCTGTGTGTGGCCAACTTTTGCTTCAGTTGGCTTCCACCAATTCAACTGCGTAGTAAAAATCATTTATAAAAAAATAATATGATTTTGCTGGCTAAAAGCGTTGAAGAGCAACGGAAATAAAAAAAAATAAAAAAAAAGTTATTGGCCAAAAACTGCCATAGTGTGCGATTCTTTTGATTATGGAAATCAGTGGCAGAACAATTTAAAATCAAGAGAAAAAGAAATGGATTGTCAGGCGCGGAGTGGAACGACGGGTGTTCCTCCTATCACGTGTGCTTGAGATTCTACACGCTTATCGGGTCTGCCAGAAAGCGTGCAAAATATAATAAATTTAATGGCGTGAGCCACAAAGAAAAAGAGCCTCTTACCATGGCTAGAAAGTTTCATGACTATTCAAATTTAGGACTCATCACTCTGCCATATCACTCTATACTCCCCTCAGGCGATAATATATCTATACTTTTGTGGTCTCAAATGACTCTGCGCCTATGCCAAGATCATGAGTTGTTTGGGTCTTTTGAGCCCAGCCTAAAAATAGGCAATGCGAACTTGGTTTCACTTATAGATTTGTAAAGTAAAATTTATGTAGAATTTTACTCTCATATTTTGGTATATTTATTTATTTTATAAGAGTTAAAAATATGCATATTAATTACTAATTACTTATAAAGCAATTAACTAACATTAACTGAACTTTATATCCTCGAAATCTTTCAAATTAAAGATCTAATATTCCTTAGTTAACACGCTAACTTTGAATTCAAAAATTAATAACAATGCTTTATACAATTGAATTTAAAAGCTTAATTACTGAGCGAATATACACGGGTTAGGGGAATTAATGATCTGTGTTCAACCCCAGATTTAGATGATTCATATAGACATTAAGTTATTGAATCACCCTTAGCTAACATGATAAATATCAATACTTGACCTGGCTTTGATGTTAGGATGTGTTTACAGACTTTTCTTGGCTTAGGCTCAATCCTTAGGGATTGTTTGATTTATTATTTAAACTATAAAATTATTTTATAGAAAAAAGTTCTTTAGTATCGCTAAAAGGTAGATCCATTTCCACTTAATGTTCTTTGTGGCTGGATCCCCGCTAATTGGGGCAAACAATGGACCCAGCAATTAGGGGGAGACACCAGATAATGTCACCGGAATAATGCCTGGCGCCTGCCTTCGAAATCAGAGGCGACGACAGGCGACGAGGCAAAGTCTGTTGGGATGACGATGACCCCCCAACCTGACATCATACTCGCAGCATATCTATGAGGAATTTGGTGTGCAGCTATATTTAGATGTGTGCTGTATGTGGCATAATAATAATAACAAGTAATTAAATAAAAGTAAAGCAAAAACCATGAAAATGGTCAGTCGCCCGACCGATAAGAAAGTGAAGAAATGCAAAGGAACTTGAAATGTTTGCGGTTGCCACACACAAAGCGACTGCACATTCCCATATAAGTATTACTATATTTATTTATTTTGGCTTTTGAGGTGCTGCTGCTGCCTGTTGCTGTCGCGATAAGGAGCTGCCGAGAAATAAAAAGCAGAGAAAAAACAATGAGAGGGAATCGTAAAAAATAAAAAAAATACAAGTTCAATTT